AAGTGCTTCTAGAGTCTGAGGAGGACGTTGCAAATTGAGCAATCTCCTACCCATCATATCCCACACGTGCTCAATTGGGGATAAGTCGGGAGATCTTGGTGGCCATGGTAACAATGTGACATCATTATGTTGAAAGAAGTCTATTGTGACTCTTGCAACATGTGGTCGGGCATTATCTTGTTGGACAGTTGGATCTGCCAGGGTGTCAAGATAGGGTAAAAGATGAGGTTCTAGAACTTCGTGGATATAACGCTGCGCGTTCATGTTACCTCTGATGAAGATCAAAGGTGACTTGGAACCATAAGCTATAGCACCCCAAACCATAACTCCAACAGTGTGATGAACATGTCTTTCAACAAAAAACTGTGGATTCCTCCTTCACCACGTCGCCGTCTAACCGTGGCACGACCATCGTGCATGCCTAAACAAAATCGAGACTCGTCACTAAAGACAATACTGTTCCATTCCTGATCCCAGAGTGACCGTTGTCTGCACCACTCAAGGCGATTACGTCGGTGTTCTCGAGTTAAAGGGAGGACCCAGTGTGACCGGTATGAAAACAAGCCAAAACTTCTCATTCGTCGGTAAACACTTCGCATGCCAATAGGTCTTCCGTGTTCTGCAAACCATTCATTTGCAATGGACCTGGTAGTGGAGAAACGGTCCCTTAAGGCCAATAATCTTAGGCGGCGATCTTCACGGTCTGTTGTTCTACGGCGGCGTCCAGTGCCCCTTGCTCTTTGCGTACGGCCTTCTCGAAGCCATGCCTGACAACACCTAACCACAGTGTCTGCACTTCTTTGCACTCTAACTGCAATTGCCCGAAAAGAAAGTCCAGCTTCCCGAAGTCCCACTATACGGCCCCTATCAAACTCGCTAAGTTGACGAAATCGTACAGGTCTCCGTACTCTAGGCATCGTAACCGATCGTAAAGGATGTCAAGAACCAAAATCCGCCAATGTTGATTCTTTACTGCGGCTGAAATATTCATTTTTAGAGCGTTAATGAATTAAAAAAAAGCAGTATAAAAACCGGAATGTCCAACTGATAAGGCTGAACATTTTTTCACTTGTTATTTACAGTAAGATAAATACATTCACCATCTTTTATTAAAATAAAACCATTTAAACTGGGTGTTCGGATTTATATGTCACTTAGTATACTTCATCATAGACGGAGGCGTCGGTAACCCATTCTAGTTTTTATTTCTTACCGTAAACAATGCATTAATCGTAATATTTTTTATGCGAGATGGCATATGTTTGAATAAATATTCTGATAAGCTTCTATTGTGTGTGCAAAACTGTTTACAAAACATCACAATCTCTATATTTTTTGTCATGTCGACGTGTGCACATGAAATTTTTTGCTGGTCTCTTCAAATACGTGGAGAAAATTAATTTATCTTGAATGAATGCCAAGGTTTTCCTTATCTCTACTAATATTGCGTTGTTATAAGTTGGCACTTATGTGTGAAAAGTGGTCGAGTATTTTCGGATGAATCATGCCACGCGACTATAACTACTAGTTTGAGTTTTTACCGAAAAAAAACAACAAATCTTGAAAAAAAATGGCGTCAAGTAGGTTAACTTTGGACTTCCCACGCAATGCTGTCGTTACTTCATAAAGGATTGTGTGAGGCACAAGCCTCTCTGAGAGAAAGGTTAGCTATGAATATCTCAATCCAACCCTGATATGAATGATCTCGATCGGTTCCTTCACGTTCACACATTCTACTACCCCCTCCCCCCTGAACATGAATCCTTGGACCACCCCTGCGCCCATTTTAAACGGATTAGACGAGGTGCTTATACGATCCTCTCACGAAGAATCTGACAACGCTGCACGGCGGCTACCCATGGCCTAGGGCAGTAAGCATCGCAGATACAATGAAAACCAAATTTGTCTGAACGCTTGAGTTCAATGTGTACGAGAGAGAAGTGTCTATAGACACATACACCTTAGGAAAAACCATTGTTATACATGGGAAATCATTTCTTGGCAACAGCGCATCGGCTCGTCTACTTTCATCGCTATTCGTACATATTTCCTACCGTTAACCGCAGACCTGTATCACGAATGATAATAATAGGCAGATACGCTGTGTTGCCAATTTGAGTAGAGCTTCCCGAATTGTGGGGAATTTAGAGTTAAGTGTTGATTCATTCAAGCTTTTAATCAGCATGGCCTAGACGTTAGAACTTCATAAAGATAACATTGAAGCTGAATGCTGCTGGAGTATAGTGTTTCGAATATTCAAAGCGGAGCGGGACACTATACTCGTTCAATGGGTCATCAAACCACAGTCTTTTCAACAAAGGAATTATTTTACGAAAATGTGTTATATTTTTACGATTTTGTCGTCACCAAATCTCTGTTTCTCAAAATGTACGTCTATTGTAGAATTTTCAGCAAACTAAGCAAGAAACGTGATCTAGTATTTACTCAACATTACGGATTTCTCGAAATACATTAAAAATGTGACCTAGATACCTAACTGCCCCAAGCTCTTTAAATATAACACCTTAAACCAGGGTTACCAGGTGCTCAGTCACGTTGATTGTCATGTTGTACTGCGCAAGTCAGCAAACAATCTGGCGTAATAAACGTTAGGAATCATCAGGTATTGCCAGATTCCCGAATACCGGGCACCATAGTAACCGTTATAGTTGTCCTTCAAAGTTGTCAAATCACCCCTATGGCGCGAATTCGCCACACCAGGCAACTGTGCTATAAATAAACCCTGTTTATCACTACTATTTGATAGTCATATGGTAGTTGTAGCCCTATCTAGCGGTCCATGATTTCTCTCAATACTGTTGTATCTCTACTGGCAACAAGAATAGGGATTACAAAATCATTTATACAACAATATACAAACATGAAAAATATGATTTGAACCATGAAACATTAATACAATTTTAATAGTTTGAACTTTTTTCATTTTTGGAATACTCTTATGTGGAATCCGCAGCTATTTTTCCCGAAATTTGGGTAGACTTAGATTTCTTAGAAATATGACATATTGGTATCGGCAACTCTGCGAATGGAGAAACAAATCGCATTTGTTGAGCGCATCCGTCTAAGCGGTAGGCGCCAGCGCCCGTTCTGCCATCTCTCTCTTTTATCACTCTTCTACTTTACCCCGTTGTCCGTCACACTCCGACGCTGCCAGATATGATCCTACAATCGAGTCTTTCACGCACCTACATACTTTTGTATATTTCCATCTCTCTTCCTCACCATAATGTATAATAATGGGTTTTCCCAAGGTGTATGTTAGAAAGAGATAGAAGCCGGTGGGATAGCGAAGCCCATCTCCGCGTTGCCTAGCAACCCTGTCGCGGCAATCTGCCACGTTGCCAATATGTTACACCATTTAAAATAAATAAAAACAATTCTAATCAAAATGAAAACAAAATATAAAAGTTAATGTTTCACAGTAACCTATATATATATTGGCAACGCGGCAGATTGCACAACCTTCTGCGTCACCGTTGGTAGGAAATCTGGTGATGACTTTCGCTCTACAGTCGGCTTCTATCTCTTTCAAACATGTGTTGATATAAATATTTCTCGTGCTTCCCTCTTGTACACATTGAACACAAGCCGTCAGACAAATTTTGCTTTCTCTGTATATGCGTGAGTTGAAAATATGTCTATCATTCTAAATTTCAAGGGGATATGTACGGGAAAATCAAAGATATGTGAAATAGCTGAATACAAAAAATTGCTTATTTTGCTTTCATAATCAATATACATTTGTCACAAGACATGGTATGTAATATATACAATTTGAGACGATCAGGTAATATTTTGATTTTGACAGTTCTTATAACTACCAAGGTAAAATGTGTGAAGGGGGTGACATTAAAACGATGAAAAAGATACTTTAAATGTGATGTCAATACTCTTCGCTAAATAAATTCAGTAATTCTTTATTAAAATTAACAAGTATTCATTTACATTGATCTGTAAAAACGTTGTATAGATTAAGAGCTCACAGACCCTCAGAGAAAATGAGAACATCCAAAAAATTATATTTTGATAGATTTTTATTTTTTTGTCTTTTACTTGTAGCTCCACCGCCTGTTGCATGGTTTATAAAACTACATAGCTTGTTAGTCCTTGACATAGTAGTAACCTTGTGTGAAAAGTTTTTCAAAATTCCACCGATACGTTCCAAGTTATAGACGGGCCAAAGATTAACGAACACACCAACCGACAGACTGAACAACAAAGAGATGGACCGATCATGATGTTCATATCATAGTATAACATCCAAAAAACATATCTCGTTTTCGAAATTTTTCGCGATTACAATACTTTCTCGCCAGCAGCCGTGGAAAGTAAAAATAGCAAAATACCTAGTTTTAGCTGGAAATAGGAAACAACATTTAAATATAGAATTTCTCCTACCTTTATTTTATATTGTCATGAAAACAATAGATGATATATGAATGAACTCGAGTGTACATAGCTTCGTTTTCTGGTTTATGATAACTCATTAACATTTCTAGTCACTTCTAGAAAAAGACTGGAACGCATTTAAGATAAAGTTTTATAAATACAAACACATTTACTCTCCTTTATTTTTTACTTGCTCATCTGTTGCGCATTCAGTTGAACAATGTAATATTTCAAAAATCCATATTTTGGTTATTAACATTGTTCACAAAAGCAAATATATGATACTGGAAGGCACAGATGTAAATTTTACATAAAAAAATGTAAATTGTACGTATAGTAAGCTGGGTTCTTAGCTATAAACGTTACGTGTATTACTAACGAATATTTGAGGCATATTGAAATACTTATACGGATTTCTCTGAGCATTTTGTTTGAGGGCGAGAAAGCCATAAGAGTTGCATTTTCTCCAAATGAGGATCCATCCCAGCGAGTCAAAAAAATAAAATGTATTTATGATAAGAATAGTGCAACCAATTTCACATCTCTTTCAGATTGTGAATATTAATGCTTTCGTTTCTTTTGATTTTCAGTTAATGAAACTAACCAAAGGCATATTGGGCGAGAAACTATTCATCCTACTAATGAAGTCCACTTTCTATGGCCATTTTGTGGCCGGCGAGGACCAGTTCAAAATCAGGCCAGTCCTGGAGAGGCTGAGGTCCTTCGGAGTCAAACCCATCCTAGATTACTCCGTAGAAGAGGACTTGTCACAAGAAGAAGCTGAGAAACTAGAAGTAGAGTGAGTGGCCATTTTCGATTCGAACTTATCAACACGAGTTTAGTGCTAATAGAAATTTCAGTTGAGGCAGTTTGCATTTCCGTGTCTCAATATGAGAATTCGTCCTTTCGCAGATCTCTGCTACTACAAGTTCATATGACAGACATGTCCAATACTACCTAAAAAGTGTTGTGTTGGTTTAACAACAGAAGAATTTCTGTATTTTCTATGTAACATTAACAATAAATTAATTTTATTACCAATATAAATTGAGAAAAAAGTAGAACAAAATGTGTCGATGCCTAAATAAGCAAAAAGAAGGTTCGCATGCTTGACAATTATGAGTCGTCAATTCGCGCTTCCCCACCTAACCAGCTAAAATAATTATAGTAATAATAATAATGCATAATGAACTTGGTGGAGGCTGTCTTTATGCTGAGAACCTGATTTTGAAACCATTGGGTGATTCCGATGTTGGAATCCTTCATAAGCAGCCTCCTTTAAGCAGCCTGATTGTTGATTATTACGAATACAGGTTTTATGAACCGCTTATATAATTATGACTTTGTTATGGAGCAGAAGTGTTGGTCGTTCTCAAAAATCAGTAATATTTGTAATATTCTTTCAACCAGAGGTTGGCCTTGTTCATGTTTTTCTTAATATGACATGGCGCTTAAAGTATCTGTCAATCATCGGCTAAAGCAAATGCGTATCGACATCAATTAATATACTTTGATTTTCCATGTGTGTCCAAACCACTAAATTTTTGGTAGCTGCCTGTAGTTTGCTGGCAGATCATCAATATTCTCTAGATATCTTTTTTATCAGTTGCAATCAATGCATTCATCTGCAAATGCTGCAACTGTTGCAACCCTTTTAGAAAGTATATCTGAGATCGCGTGAAGTACTGGTCCAAAAACAATTCCATCATATACATCCATCAAAGTAATCTTATTTATATGATTAATGCGGAGATGCACCTCAAAGTTTCCATGAAACATAAATTATACTGACCAGTAGCTATTATCCAATATTAATCCAGCTTCTTGTGTATACGAGTTTTCCTAATGATTATCACTATAATTGTGTGGTTGAAACTGTAGCTAGTTATATCTCAGAGCGTAAGGTAGGCGTTTCAAGGACGAGGCGATAATTTTTTCCATTGTTGATATTCAATATTAAAGCTGAATCGATTTATGTTTCAAATTAATTTTATTTGCATTGAAATTATTCGTAATTTGTACGAATTTTTGATTGATGCTGATTAACGGGATACAGGCATAGTTTTGGAATCTGTCACCATTCTTCGCAAATAGTTATTCAAAATGCCAACATTTTGCGTATTGTAGCGCCACAGTCCCAAATACTTTATTGCTTGCAATTGTGAAATTCAGTTTATGAAACGGATTGTCAAACAGCGTCGCTTAACTGTATGTGTCAAACTGTCTAATAATGCCATCAAAGATACAAGACGTGATCTGGAAGTTCATAGCATTACTTGAAAACAACGTTTTGTGTTAGTAACAGTTTCAAGCGTACGAAGTCGCGGCTTACAGTTGTTGCAAAATAAAATGTCTTTAACGCTTGACGGTCACGGGCTTAGTGGGGCGATTACAGGCCGCGCAGTTGCCGTCTTGACGCTTATGGTGGAGATTTTGGTAGGTGCCACGACAATTGAGTGCAAAATCAACGATGTACGTATTAGTGGACAAAACCATGCCTACTTCCTCGGGAATCAATTAGTAAGTGTGTAATTTTATATCTCTCCGTATGGTGGTTTGGACGTGGTGCTGACAGACTGGACCATACAACATGTTTGCTAGATGACAGAAAAGTGTATCTTACCCGCCTAGTAGCATTAAAGATTGTATGATAAATAACATAATAACTATTCACATTATTATACTTAAAGCAAACAAATCTAAATCAATACTATCGCGCAAAGGCAACGAATGCCACAATGCAGTAAATGCACGATGCAAATGCCTTATTCATATTTTGGTCGGGCCAGCGACTGAGCCCTTCCGCGCTAGACACCTCATGTCAACTTTCATTAAGCTGTTTGGGCTGCATATTATAATCTATAGCTAAATACCAAATTTCATCCATATCCGTTCAAGCATTTTAGCGTGATTAAATAACAATCATCCACACACACATAATATTATAACGTAGAGATTAGTAGCGATCTTATATCACCAGTGCAAGCAAGTGATAATTTTCGGAATGGTTCTTATTCATAGAAAGACATATTTAAAAAATAACATTTCATAAGAATTTCCAAATTTAAATCTAAGGTCACATTGTGATATACCTCTGGGTGGTGTATCCATGTATCCAAAATGAATAATCTCTTGATTCGCACCTCAGTTTGGAAACTGGAAATAGCCGGACTAGATCGGAAACACATTTTTAGTTCCTATTATAAAGCTTTAGGTATACCAATTATTTAATTTTTGTATGTGATGTAATGTTGTAATGTAGTCTTCAATGTGTGACATGTGTTTGATCCAATGTCATGTAAAATGTTCCATTGATTGCCATTGTCTTCAGGGCGTCCGTACCTGAAGCTGGTGAACCAGAAATAGAAGGCGCTCTGAAACAGTACCACGTAGATAAGACGTTCGCCGATCGTAGGTACAAAGTACAATCGGCTAGGACCTATTTCTATCTAAACGAAGCAACTTGCGAGAGGAACATGGAAACCTTCATCAGATGTCTGGAGGCGATAGCGGGTAAGTGCCCTCACGGTGGACATACGTTGGTCGTCTTTGGACTTACGTTTGCTGGCTTCAAAGACCCTTAAATGTTCATATACTTTGTTGTTGAAGAATTTGATGCATCCAAACGAGAGCATATAATTTCTTTCATTTTAGATTTCCAAACTGTAACAGTGGCTATTCACATTAGCTTGTGTTTAAATAAAATAACATTTGGATATGAAACATCACTAAAAGTGGATAATTCCTACAAATTCAAGGGGTCAGGTTGTAGTTATGGTTCACACGAACCATTTGTTCAAAAATAAAGAAGAAAGATTATTGGAACATGCATGATGATTATACCCTTGTGGGGGGAACTGTTCAACGCTTTATAGTCATCTGAGTTTAAGTAAAATAGAATTGCCCAATACGTCTCCAGAACTTAGACTTCAGTTTACGTGATACTTGGTGCTTTTGGCATGTATGGTAACTTACCGCTATCTAACGTACAGCCAAAGATATGGTCAAAATGGTATAATTGTGAAAACAACAATGATACCCAGAGCTCACACAAAATATGCATACAGTTGTACAAATATTATTTTTCAGCGCTTTGTTGCGTTGTAAATGACTGGTAGCTTTATTTTTAGTAAAGCAAATCTCCATGCGGAATGCCACGTGTGAACGGATCCTCGTTGAAGCTAACAGACGGCTGTCTATTTTTTCATCGATTTCACTTCGGGACATTGTAGGCTAGAAAATATGATGCTTGAAGAACGTTTATTTTTTATCGCGCGTGATTTTGTAGTAAGAAACCTCTAGACTGGACCGACGTGAACGTAGTGAAACATGCAATCCGCACGCCATATATATTTGGTAACATAAAAACTTATTAGTAACACATGAATCTGTTCCCTTATCTTGAAATATTACCAAAACACAGATTACTTGAACTTCACTATATTCTATACTTACTATATTTTTAAATTAATAGGTTGCATATATAGGGTGTTCATTTGAAAACTTTCCACCACGGATTTATCGAAAACCACTGATTAGAAAAAAAAAAACGCGGAGACACGTCAAAAGATTTGTCAAGGGGGACAACTTTTTAACCAAAAACTACTTCATCCCCTTTCACCCTCGGCCCGCTAGGGTCATTCCCTTAAAAATTTTAAATGATAAGGAGTATCGAGTAACAAATTGTTTGAAAGGTCTTTCAAAGTCCTTTATTTTTTAATATCAGTCGATTCGTGTCTCGGCATGTATGATCAAGCCTCAGGGCTTCGCACAGAAAAAATGGTGAGATAGATACTACTTGGAGTTAATGTCGATCAGCTGTTTCGTTTAAATGAGGGTTCTAAAAAACTGTAGCATTAATGTAGCATTCTTCATTTATTCCAGAAAGATTCCGGCTCTCCGGATGTTTTCTTATTTGTCGTCAAACGCTGCATCACTCAAATTATTCACTGACATTTTTCAAATCATCAAGTAAAAAGTGAAGGAACTTTCTTAAAATACCAAGCCACGCAAGTCCAAAGCTTGCCAACTAATTCGGTAGACTGTGTTTTTATATGTGTGTATTATGCATGATTTATGAAAAGCATACATTTTGCAGGCTATGTTAATCATTTTTATTTTTATTTACTGGTGCACATACATTTTACGTAATAAGACGAACAATTACCAAAAATACTGGCTACATTAGTATTATCATTTTCACACTACGTATTTTTATCACTGGTACACTTTTGCTTTTTTGCAATTCGTGAAGGCAACATTCTATAATTATGTTTACGAAGGGTATTATTTTTAGCTTTGTGAATAACCAGCACAAAAACGTTACTGCGATGAAAAAATTGTATGCTCATTCCCTAGAAATTCCAAGTTGTGTAGCCGATACGTATGCGTATGTTTTTTTTTACAAGATGAACCAAAAAGCATCGTCTATGCAGTTTATATCAAAGTTCGTTAACCGAAAATACTTTTTTGCTGCAAATTTTGTATAATTTGGACTTCAATTCCAACCAACAAATACGTGTTGGCAGTTTCAAAGGTATTGTTGCCAGCATTGAATTAGGTTGCCACGATTTTTTTTGTCATGTGATGCATGGTAAAAAATAATCTTTCCTAGAAAGATACTTAACCCTCAAGACACACAGTGAGGTGAATATCTTAATGGCAACAATATGCCAAATAACCATCAATCACATGTTGAACTTAAATTAGATGCATTTCAGGCTAGGGATAGGAAACCCTACCTCAAAGCAGCATGCTTATTGAGGGGAAGGAAAGACAAGAGAAGCAAAAGTATTCTGCTAAGTTCTGATACACATAACCAAATAGTCGCCGCATTGATACGACTATTTATGAGAGAAAATGACAAATAATAATAATAATAATAATCAATGTCAATTTTAGGTTAAGCAAAAGGCGGAGTTCACAAAAGACCTGCTCTTCCAATCAACCATACATAGTTAAAAAACAAAATGAATATGTTACAATTAAAAACAGAATACATGAGTCAAATATTTAAGTGATCACTTTAGAGGCTAAAATTTGAATACATAAACCATTGTGATGATTGTTGCTGTGTCGCCGTGTTTCCTTTCGCTTTGCTTAGCCACAGTGCAACAAAGTTATATCTTTTACTGTCAACGAACTTTGATCGTAAGCTACAAATGCAACCGTAAGCTTCTTGGGGTAAACAAAGTGTGATATTCAGATGCATTGCATTCATTTTGCAAAGTCGTCGTCTCTTCAACTGCCTGCCCAATTATACGTACAGATACTGTGAAAGGCCAGTGAACTTCCTGTTTGATATTATTTTGATACAAGGACAAGGAAAGATAGAAAACACAAAATTCTATTGAAAAAAGAAACATCACCGCCTCGATTATAAAAATGTGGACCGTGAAATATTTATATTCGCGCTATAAACGGGATCACAGCAAAGTTTACAGACTATTTATAGTTGTATCACTGACTTTCATGTTCGGATTTCTTTAGTGGTATCGGCAACAAAGAAATCCTATTAGAGACGGACAGTCTTGACACAGCAGTCGTTTCAGCCGAAAATCTCCAGCACCTTTTTTTGCTAAAAAAACTACCTTCGACGGTCAGAGATACTTGCCCGCCGAGGGTTGATATGCTATGCGCTGGGTGCGCGATGATAGCTCCACCTAGCGAATATCAGACCGAAATATTTTTTCTTGAAAATATTAATGAAAAATTTTATTTTCAAACTAACTCTTTTAATCAAATACTGACAGCGAAATATTTAAACCTCTGACATGCCTCAGTTGACCCCACCCCATATGACAGAAACTTCACCTTAAAGACCACGGCTATATTCCACTAAGAGTCGAACGATTTTTCCTTTTTTAACCAATGCGTGCGCGACGTCGATTCAATTCCCCCCACCATGCATGTCACTCCCGGCGACTAGATGCCTCCCGGGTCCCGAGGGGAAGAAGAAAAAACTGGTTTGCCCGCTAAGTGACCCTATTCTCACTAATCCGTATACTTTGATAATAAATCATAACTGATCAACACGTAAAGCTGTACGGCGAACCGCACGCGGTATTAACTGGCAATTAAGGATTTTATGATCATTGTTTTTTTTGGCTATTACTAATAGCGCTCAAGTTATGAATACAGATATGCCTCCAAATATTTTTTGCTGAATATTTTAAAATGCGTGTTGGTAAGAGAGGTTTGGTCATTTATATTTCAAGGCAGTTAGTCCGACATCGATTGCTCTATTTATTGTATTTGCTTGAATCAGATATTGTTTTCATTCATGAATCTTACATTGGCATCTTTATTAATAGAATATTGTACGTCAGAAGACAGCATTCGTTGCTGTCAAACCCAAAATTCGTATTATGTATTACCTATCCGTGGCTTGCCCGAGTTATACGGATAGCCTACTCGAAGGCTGCTACGCCATTGCCATTGCTTTTTTTATTGGCCCTATGATAGTCTTTCTGCTGTATAGGTGGCACATTTTATTGAAGGATAATAACATATAAATACTGTCACAGGATCACATTTACATCAGTTGTCTTCATTGTTTCTATGCTCTAAGTTCTATGCTATAGCTGAGAGAAAATACCATAACAAACGTTGATGGTAGTGGTGAGATGCGCTTGCAGTGGTTAAGCTAGAATAGCAGCTAAATGGCGGTGGTTCTATTCCCTCATAAGTGACATTCGTACCGTGTGAATTCCCCGAGCAAAGCAGTACATGCACAATTGTACATATCGCGAATTTTTCATTGAGCCGCAACGATGGCTGTCGGTTTGAGCCAGCTACAATTTTGTACGAAACAAAGGTGTCGGTTTGATCGTTCAAATATCGATAATTAGCCGTTCTGTCGTGATACTATTTTTGACAAAGCTCCATATCTAGAATGTTAGTTAATAATCGCATTGCTACGTCTTAAGTTGATCTATGTTCATCAGCATCTGCATATTCCAGCGATCTCCTTATCACGTTTCTGACGATCTTCTGTAATGAAGTTTCATCGCATAGGTGCTCTATATAAAAATAGACTTTGTTTAAAATACTTTCTAACGTTTCATTTGATATTGTAACATACTAAACGTATTTTGAAATTTTCCAGATTAGACCTACAGCAATTTTAATCTGTTACTACAGTAAAATGTTTTTGAATCTTTATACAGTTTCTGTTAAAATGTAATTCACTGACCCGGCTGGCAATGCAAAAGGACATACAGTTCCAACAGACAGCTTGCTGTTTTCACTTTCGTAGTAATCGATTCTGGTAATGTATGGCACTTTGTGCTCTTATTTCGATAGACCTTACACTCCGAATAGAGTAGAGTAGAGTTGCTCAGGTTTTGTGAGTGCAAGTAAATTCAATGGCAAATGTTGGGTATTAAAAATATATTTTTGCCTTTTCTACTATTTTTTTGCAATTTATTTTTGTTCGAGCCGTGTCTCTGGAAGATTCAGGTCCCTGGGCAATTGCTCCAGTCTCTCCCCACCTGTCGCCGGCCCTGATCATTAATGCCTTGGGTGATAAATCAAATCGGTGCGCGGTGTGAATAAATCATTTCGAGCAAACAAATCACGCGGCCTTGTGACGTCTACGTTGAACCCTAGTTCGAATGATGCACTAACAATAGCCAAATTTTGAGCGGTGTACACCTGATTGTGTTGCAAAAATAGCATAGTTCATCTGAAAGGGAATGGTCAGTCATACAAAATACATATGATGGAAGAAAACCGGTATAATATCCAGATATTGTGGGTTTCTAAGAATTATTGTTCAGGCGAGGGAAGAATGAGATATTGAAGATTGACGGTCCCTTTTATGGAATTTTAAGAAAATATTTTCCCGAGGACTATTTGTCTGTAGGAGTATTCAGTTTTCGGAATGCTATTTTTTCTGAAGCTTGTTCGATGAGTAGGTGGTCCCTCATCCTCCCCAAGATCGTCTGAAATATTTACTATTGCATAAAACTTATTATGTTTGACTTAAGATTATTCCATCACGTTTCACATGTTAAAAGGTAGTTATTGGTTAGATGTATTTTCTTAGTCCTTTTATAATAGCATAACAGTGACATTTCAAAAAGTAATATTTTTGTGCTAATTAAAAGGCTCATAATAACTATACTATTTTAGCCCATTTTATTAAAAGTGTTTGTACTTGGTCAATGTCTACATTAAATAAACACATTGATTTTCATTTGCACGTTTGTTATTACTTATAAACGTCAGAGATGTTTTCTCACCTTCCTACGTAAAAACTGAGTAACTATAGAAAAAAGAAAACAACTGCAATTTATATGAGAATATTTACCTTGTTATAACTCCCGTCTTTGTTTGAGTGAGTACAAAGATAAAGTTTCTCGTGTTTGTTGTATTCTTGTTGGTGTTCGTTAGATATTTTTAAATCAGTCTGTCACCAAACCGTACAAATTTGGAAACGAGTCAAAAGTATACGTAATAAATGACTGTGCATTGATAGTTCAAAACATACGCTGTGACAATACATAATACTGATACGTGTTATTTATCACAATTATAAAATTATCAATGGATTTTTTCGAATTCCTTCGTGTGTTTATTAAATGACATACGTGGCTGTTCCACGTGTATAGTAAAAATTAAAGGTCTTTTTGTAAGACAAAGTGACATTTCGTTGTTTATTTATTGCCATAGAAGAATGTAAGTTAATTTAAATCTTTAGTGTGCATATTTGGCACCGTGTTTGGCAACTACGTGTCCTCTGTAGCACTTGGACTATATATTATTTCCGATGCCACCCTAAGATCATCCGCAACTAAGTAATCGTATGAAAACGCACTTTGAGGTGTATTCGTGAATTGAATAATGAGCCCTGGATATTGTTGTCGCTACAAAGAAAAACTATCAATCTTCTGATCAAAAGGTCTGAGGGCTTCTCAATGATACTAAAACTATCATGATCTGTTAAACCTAACACATCCAATTGGTAAGAGAAAAATAAAACAAATTGTATCACTGCTGTCGACTATCCATCAACCACCAGAGAATCGTAAAAAGAGTTTACGTATAAATTAATTTGAATATAATATAGGACATTCTATATACTCAAAAAGATTACAATGTCAGAAAAAAATAGCTATTGCACGATGATATTTAGAACAATTTGTGTCTGCATTGTAGGACCTACAGCAAGCAAATGTGTTGATGCCAAGGCTAGAATGCTTGGCAAAAATACAACGTTACATGATTGTAGGTTGTGTTAAAAAATTGACATTTATGTAATATATAAATTGAATGCTGGGCTTGGTTTAGAGTAATTTTGCTTGATATTTTAAGGATCCTTCGTTACTCAAAGTTTGATGCTTTCAACCGAGAGTTTAGTGACACTAAAAGATAAACATAACTACACATTTACTGAAAAGTACTGCAAGCCAGCGCCAATAGAGGAGCAAAATACCCCATTTTTAGTTCATGCACCAGAAATACCATATCTGCTTCTTGCATTTATTGACATATATTAAAATCAAAATTCCAGTAAAAATATGATGATATAATTTATAAACTATTTAATATTTGCCGCTATTATCCGAAAATGTTTATTGCTGATATCGAAGATATATTGAACAGGTGGGGATGTTAACTAAGTTAATACTAATATATTAAGGATTTGTATGCGATGTAACATATCGTGTTTTTATTATCATTCATAATTAATTCATATCCATGACCACAGGCATGAAATACGTTTTAACACATACACACACAAACACTGAGAGTCAATTTGTTTACCAAAACCTTTCCTTCGAGGTGTCTTCTTTCAAGATACGCTGAATTGTAGTTTCATCTACAGAAGTACATTTTTATTGGCAAGAATGCAAAAGTATAACATTTTGAATGCCTATGCAACTCATCTCGCTTTACTACGTTTACCTTATAGTACATGGTTTGAATTCAGATCCACCAAATAATGAAATTTTGGGATGTTTGGGATTCTTTGTGAAAAAGGTAAACTCTAAATTCCCAATAACTGCGCTTTATAAAATTTAATATTTGTATCAGTAAACTAGTTGAATTGCGAGGTAAACATAGTTACTTGAACAATTACACCTTGTTTGTCTTACCATGGTTTAAGATGAAGTTCATATTTTGTACAAAATCAATCCGTGGATGCAACTTAATCAACAAAAGGTGTCACTGTTCATCTTCAAATCATCCTTCATCTTTTTGTTACGTTAAGTGCAGCGGTAGATTCACTATTGCAATTATACTCATATATGAATTAACCATAGGCTTAATGTCCAAGTGAGTGTCAAAGTTCATCATACGAAAGTTATGACCAAAAATATGAAGCGTATGTTTTATGAAAATACATATAATCATCCATGAATCTGACTTTTTGATTATATTCTCAAATCCTTTACAGATTCTTCAGATTTTAGGCCGTTTTCTTGTTATTTTTCAATAAGTATCTACGTGGGTTCCGAAATAATCATTACTTTTGATTTACGAATATGTGATATTTGGATAATCAGCCTATGGTTTAAATATGTTTTCATTTTGTAACTAATTGTTTTTTATTTATTTACTTTGGTTTTAAGATTTTTCTGTTTGCGATGTTTTTATTCATGATGCCTGTGTTTTTTCTGTCCCTAGATTTTCAGAAGACCTCAGGTAAAGTAGATTGCAAGAGAAAACGTAATTGTTGCACACACTGAAATTTCCAGATAAACAAGTCATGGTAATACCTAACTTTAAAAAATGCTGCCCGCGAAATTTTTAAAAATCCAATAGTGGCCATCAGATAAGTATGGATTCAAAGATATTTTATGGAAATTTTGTTTTACTTGTGTAGATTCTCTTTAACAGTTTTCTTCGGTAATTGTGCAGAATATCAAGGTATATGGAATAGAATTATCATGTTAGTTTTAATTCATCTCAGAAGCATGCTTACTTCATGCTTGATCAAGCAGATGTTACATAGAGTTGATGAGTTTTTTCAAGGCAAGCTAAAACAATTCATATTTTTTTACAGTAGTATGTGTTCCCGCTATATTTCGATGTCATAAAAATCGCTCCACCAGAGCAAATAAATGCTAGCATGACCGTTTTGCTTGTCTTGAAGAGTTTAGCAGTATACTTTTATTCAGTACCCACCACACCATAAAAGGGCTATAATTACTAGTTGTGGTTTTACTCAATTATCTGACGACAGCTGCAGTTTTTTCCATACGTTGTACCACTAAAGGTAAACCCGACGTACTTCATCCGCTCTTTGGCAAAATCGTAATAACTCAGTTTGTAGTTGAATATACGTTTGATATTCTGCACTCTTCGTAGACACTCTGAGAGATATTTGTTATGAAAGCATATTAAAATATCTCTGTATGGCTTTCTCCTTTCAGGTGACATTTTATCGTTACATTCCTAAATTGATACAATACTTGATGAGGAGATGATAATCTAGCGTAATTCAATTGTTGGCAATACATTATTTTGTCGTAGCTTCTAGAGAAGAACAAATACTATAAAAAGTCAAATAAAACTAAAAGGCAATCATTGGTTTTATATTTCCACTATAAGATACATGTTTCCAATGACATTTTGTCCTCTATACATGTTTCGGTGACGCCTGAACTACGATTTTGTCGTTCAGGTTTGTTTGCTCATCCTCTAGTTCAACAAGTAATTGGAGTTAAGCTCCATATCTTATTCAACATTTATTAATCAAGAATTTATCTCTCAATTGTTATCGTTAGATTATCACTATATTGTAAATATTGTTCAACTAACCCTGCCAAATTATAATCTCCTTTTGGTTGGTATTACTGTAGACTTTTGTAAGCCCGTAGCTTCTTTTTTTGTTTTTTTCTCACAGTAGTTCGCTTATTCTGTTTTGGTGGCGGTTGTAGTATTTATTGTACAGTAGCTTGCATCTTGGATCATTTTCTTCTGAAATACACTTTCTCGCGTTAGAAGCTATTTCCAAAATACCTTTTAGCTTGAAGATACCTGGGGTTGCGAAAACATTCTAGAAGGAAGAATCAGGATAAATGCTACTTTTCTTTAATTTCAGGTGCAACTTACGGTACTGGCATTACAGCCATCAAGCTAACAGCGTTAGGAAGACCACAGCTATTAGTGAGTATAGTCATCAATACAATATAGCTTTCTCAATCTAGGATTTTTAGTAGTAATATTATTTATTTTATATTTTTGTGTACCATCAAATATCCTGCCGTGGTAGCGGAAACGTCATTAGAGTCATTTGGGTCATACCAGAGAACGTCAAAGGAACGCATCGAGGAGGATTTTCTTCACCGTATCGAACAATGCTAAAAAAAATCCTCCGCAGAAGCGCTAGTACCGAACCCCCATATGGAGGAAAATGCACTTGATAACCTGGAAAAGTGAGAGTCATATTGAAAGTGTCAATCTAATTGAGATCATAAATTGATTATGGCTTTTCTTACCTTAACTAACTAGGCATACGGTAAACCAAGTATGGGTAAACCAGTATACCAATAACTATCAGCTGTGAACATTTGTAGGTTATGACCGTATAGGAGTGCGACGCTATACTGTCGTACTTGTGTAAAAGGCAGTAAAGGGGAAAAATCTGGAATTTTTCGAACTAAATACGAGACGTGTCCGTAAAATAAGTTCCACAAATTTTTTCATTTCTAAAAATTGGTTTAATTGCAAAGAAAATACATTTTTGGAAAGTTCAGTCTTTCTTTTATTTTTCTACATAATCGCCGTTGCGTTCTATGCATCTCTGCATTCGAGGCACCCACTTCTTCAAACCAGAGTCATAGAACTCTGCCGCCTGTCCGTGTAGAAAACTAACAACCGCGTTTTGCGCCTCTTCATCTGTCTGGTATTGGGTTCCACCAAGGTTTTTCTTCAACTCAGGGAAGAGATGGAAGTCACTTGGTGCTAAGTCTGGGCTGTAGGGTGGGTGAGACACCATTTTCCATCCAAATCTTTCGATGAGGGCTGTGGTTCGATCGGCGGTGTGCGGTCGGGCATTGTCATGGTGAAAACGCACTCCTTTCGTCAGCATTCCTCTTCTCTTGTTCTGAATGGCACGTCTAAGTTTTTTCAAGGTCTCACAGTACCGGTCAGCATTGATTGTTGTCCCGCGAGGCATAAACTCGCCCAACAATACGCCCTTTCGATCCCAAAAAACGCTAGCCATGATTTTCCCGGCAGACAGGATTTGTTTGAACTTCTTTGCTCTTGGTGAAGAAGAGTGCTTCCACTGCTTCGATTGCTCCTTTGTTTCCGGTATGGTGTAGTGTACCCAGGTCGCGTCACCAGTAACAATAGAGTCCAGAAATTCCTCTTCGGTTGTTCCGTGAAAAGCGAGAAATTCTTGGGCCGCTTCAACCCTCTGCCGCCGGTGGTCTGCAGTGAGCATTCTTGGTACCCATCTTGCGCAGACCTTTGAATAGCCTAAATGTTCAGTCAAAATCTTGTCAATTCTGGTTTTGCTGACCTCCGGAATCTTTGTGCACAGCTCCCGAACTGTAATCCGTCGATCTTCAAGCATTGCCGCTTCGACTTTTGCAATTGTTTCGTCGGAAACCGATGGCCGCCCTGCACGGGCTTCGTCGTGGACGTCTGTTCTGCCATTTTTAAAGTCCCTGACCCATCTGCGCACCATCCCGCAGCTCATACAGTCTTCTCCATACACTTGACAAAGTTCTTCGTGAATTTCCTTCGCCGATTTCTTCTTAGCGGCCAGGAAACGAATAACAGACCGCAACTCGCAGCTGGCGGGAGACGCAAGAGGAAGCTCCATCGCTGACGGCTGCTGAGCCAAGACTAAACGTCGCAGCGACGCTGGCTTGGTGAGGGATTGGAGTGGGGGAACCAAACAATCTGCCTCTGTTGCCTGGCTGTGCATAGAAACGATCCTAGCGCCAGTGGCAGCCCGTGGAACTTATTTTACGGACAAGCCTCGTAAGTAGTATTAGTACGGCAACAAAAGTGAATGAATATTGTAAAGTTCATGACTTTATAGAGGGTTGTTTAAATGTGATTTCTGATCATAATTGTTGACGAGGCCTAAAATAAGTGGCATTCCTTTTTTAATTGTCGTAAACCAAAAAGCAGTTTTTGTAATTTTTTGTAGTTTTCATAATCTATTTATATTTTTTCGAAGGAAAACACAGTAATGTGCAATTTTGTTTTATTTTAATATGATTTATTCACCTAAATAGCACAAAACTAAATCTTTTCAACATGTAATAATTCAATTTAATAAACATATCAAACAAAAATAATTATATAAATAAACTAAAAACAACAAGTTTTCCTATAGGTTAAACGTAGTATAATTTTCAAAATTATCCTTTCGGTGCAAAAGTAACGGATTCAAAAAGAATAGAATTATAAAAACACTGAATAAGTAAACATCCATAACATGTTATAAGAGATAAAAAGGCAATACTTGTACGATACAGAGAATAAAAGCAGTGTACTTTGAGAAATTGATTTACTGATTTTTTAACTCAGGAAATGTAATCAATATGAAATATTTGACAAAGTGAAAAAATAACTATTTCTGTTAAACAACGTGATCCATGATATATTTTGTCATTGTAATTATAAAAGAAATGTATTGTCGTCAAAATTTAAAAAATGCAGTACATGAACGTTACTGCACTTTGACTAAGTACAGCGGTATAACCCTAGCGGTCATTGTACATGACTATTAATCATGCGAATGCTGAAGCACACTGGTGTATCGACGCTTTCCACCACGGTATCCCGCAAGCACGGAAGGCGTTGGTATGTCGTTGTATGCCGGAACATCCCAGACAATAGATGTACAGGGTCGCCAAAATATAACTGACTGATTTAAATTGTGCGCCATTTTTGATACACGCATTTCAGTAGGTGGAGCCGTAGTAGTTTTTTAAAGCACATGTGTCCAATACATCATGGAGCGCTACACGATTCCACAACGCGTCCGTTTTGTTAAAACGTTTTACTTAAATAATGAGTCGATTAATGCAACGATTCGGAAGCTGCGACAAGATTTCGGTCGAAATAATGCGCCCAGTGTCAACACCATTCGTCAGTTGGTGCGAAAATTTTAACAAACAGGTGAAGTTAAAGACTTGCCAAGGTCGAGCCGTGTTCGAACTGTTCGTATCGAGAGAGTTCGTGAAAGTGTAGTGGAGCGCCCTGAGACGTCTACCAGACATCGTCCTCAAGAACAGGGTATTCGTCGCACGTGTTTATTCACTATTTTAAAAAAACGGCCATACAAAATTCAGTTAAGCCAAGAACTACAGCCTAGTGACTATGAAAGTCGCCGACAATACAGTCATGCAATATTGCAGCTTAATACCCAAAATAACGATTTTTACCGACAACTGATAATGAGCGATGAAGCCCACTTCGATATGAATGGATTTATTAATAAGCAGAATTGTCGTATCTGGGCATTAGAGAACCCTGGTATCATCCATCAACGACCACTACATCCTAGTCGAGTCACAATTCGGTGCGGTGTTTGGTATGGAGGTGTCATTGGATCTTACTTCTTTGAAGACGCCAGGTAATTCTAAAAACTGTCACTGGTGCGCGCTACCGCAATATGGTGCAAAACTTTATAGCTCCTCAAATCCAACAATTTAATCTGCAAAACATGTGGTTCCAACAGGACGGAGCAACTTGTCACACAGCTAGGGAAACAAAAAATCTTTTGCGAACAATATTTCCGGGATGTTTGATTTCTCGATTTGGTGATGTCAACTGGCCACCAAGGTCACCGGATTTAACGGCTCATGGCTTAATCAAGAGGGCTTCTAGAGGCGGACATTTGTCTGATATTATTTTTTCATACATAATTTCTAAGTTTCAATAAAAGATTAAGATGAAAAAAATGAACTTATTTTATTTCATTTCACAAATATTCAAGATATAAACCAGTGTTACTTATCGGCCACCCTGTATAACCTAGCGGAATACTGACGGATGCTCGTAGATTATTGTGCTGTTCGAAAAATATCGGCAATGTTGTATGTAGACTTTTTTGTGCATTGTTCACCCATCTGGAGATTAATTAAGATGAACTAGAAGATGGCATGAATCCGGAACTATCAGTCATATGATACTATTTTAGTTTGAGAAGACTGGTAATTGGCAATTTATCTTATGCTAGATATAATGTACGTTTCAGCTTCAATTGTCTGAAGTAATCATGAGGGCTCGACAATACATGACTGAAATTGTTGGTGGTGAAGGCAACGTACTGTCTCACCACATATCGCCGGAGGATCTCGAAAAGAAATTCGACAAGATTACAGATAAAGAATCGTTACGAAAGTTCCTTAAGCAAGTCACATACGATAGACATGGGTGAGTACACTCTTAATTTACTTTTATTTCATACCTTTGACTTCTTTTGAGCTTTCTCAGCTCTTTTCTTGTTTTCTCATTTGTCCTCGACTTCTGGTGTTTGGGGACCCAGAACTGAAAAGCTCCAATCACTAGCACACGTCCAAGATGAACACAGATGAGCAGATTTTAATTCTGATTCCGAAAATGAATAATATGTCATACAGTGAGCTTGTCAAACTTTAGTTATTTCATTAAACAGATTTTCCTAGGTTGGCCTTCAATTATTTGCTACCATTTAAGCGATTTCGTGAGGATCGAATTTGAAACACCCGGTATAAACGTCAACACTAACCTTATTTGACCTGAGTGTCAAATAAGGTTAACGTTTACGTGCCTGGAAAATGTTTGTACGATACTTCATCACGTTTTGACGGCTTTTGAAGTAGACAGTTGATCAGTAAGCGACATCTTTGTAGCAAGTCTGTACTACTGACAACATTGGATCTGGTGAAACTCACGACCGAATTCAGAACTATTTACCGTGAACACCGATGGAAAGGCTAGAGGCGAAACTACATATGATGATTGCCCCCAAAGGTATCCGAATCCGGATCAATCCAAATTAAGGTATACAGGGTTTGTCCGGACAGTAATAGGACTGAGTCGATTTGAAAAAATTTATTGAGCCAATCGTTACAATTCTTCAAAAACTTTCAAAATAGGCTCCCTCTGCGTCGATGCAGCGCTGCCAGCGCGATTTCCAAGTATTGAAGGCGTCACAGAAGGCATTCTCCAGAATAGCCTTGAGAGCCGCGGTGCATGCTGCTTGGATCCCCACTGTCGTCTCAAAATGCTGGCCTTTCATCGGCTTTTTCAAGTGAGGAAACAAAAAAAAGTCCGGGGGCCACATCTGGGCTGTAGGGCGGCTGCTTAAGCATTGGGATGCCGGCCTTGGTCAGGTAGCTGTTCACAAGAAAGGCGGTGTGAGCCGGGGCGTTGTCGTGGTGCAACTTCCAGTCGGCTGCGATGTCTTGTCGGACCCGACTGACCCTTCGTTTGAGTCTCCTGAGCACTTCCACGTAAAACTTGGCGTTGACGGTTTGTCCACGAGGAACAAATTCATGGTGGACGATGCCTTTGATGTTAAAAGACAATGAGCATCGTTTTCACTTTGGATTTGCTCATTCTTCCCTTATTTGGGCGAGGAGACGCCGTCGTGTGCCACTCGGAAGATTGCCTCTTTGTCTCGGGATCATACTGAAAGATCCACGACTCGTCACCTGTGATTACGTTATTAAAAAATTGGGGGTCACTTTCACACATGTTCAAATTTTCTTCACTTTTGTGACCATCTTCGCGCACACCTTACGCATGTTCAAATGCTGTGTCACAATGTCATGAACCGGAGATTTTGGTAAATTTAACATCTGGGCAATTAAACGAATACTTAGTCGACGGTCTGAGTTCAAAACTTTGCTTGATCATATCAAGCGTCTCTGTCGCAGATTTACCGAGTTTCACACAGAATTTAATCGCGTACCTCTGCTCTAACGAACGCTCCATTTTCGGCTTGCACCACTCAAAGAAACACGTCGCGCGAAAATGCCTGTCCTGACTCTCGAAGTGCTCGGAGACAACTGACCAGCCGTAGCGATGTGCCGAGTACGGTTTGACTCGAGTCAGACTCCATTCCTGCTTTAGAACTCGCCTACTCGAATACCAATTTATTTTGATTCGAATACGCCGGACTCGAGTCTCGTATTCAAGTTTGGTTAACTCGCTCGTACTCGCAAACTGTTTACTTAGTGTGCAGCCACACATAAAGCTGCTAGCAGGGAAGGTAGCGAAGAGGAAGACGGAGAGTACTTCGGATACTGGCTTCACATGTCGCTGGTTTGGAGGCGTATTTTAATTCGCAAGTTCCATAAACAGTACAGAGCCCAGGTGACGGTGGAGTTGTTATTACGGAAAAATGTCTCTTGCTAATAATTTATATTTAATCGAAAATTCTAGATACTTCTACAGATAATGCTCAACAATTTGTTGTTGACGAGTTGATGATGTTGGAAACACAGGAATCTCAAGCTCAATTCCAAGTGCCAAATACACCTACAACTTCATCTTCAGATTCCCAGTAGATAACTTCAGAGGTGACTGGCGAGAATTTATGGGAGCATCTAGATAAAAGGGTATTGGAATTTTCACGCATGGAAAACCCCACAACATCGGCAATTATCAAGGTGAAACAGTACGTAGAGGTGTAGAGCTACCGTATTTGGGTAGAAAAACCAATAAACTGAAATTTTGGGAACTTCGCAAAATCACCAACAGCGGCCTATATACATAAAATAGCTTTGAAGTATTTATGTATTCCAGCCACTTCTGTGTCTTAGGAACAAGTTTTCTCTAAGGCTGGTCTTTTATGCAACCAACGCCGCAATAGACTGGAGTAAAAGAAGGTTTACCAAATACTTTTTCTGAACAGTTATTTCAAATAACTTTTAATTCTCTTATCTCTATTTTGTTTTTTTTATATATTCATTTAGTTATGTACGGTATTGTCAGTACGGTATAGGTTGCTTAGGTGGATCTGAATACCATCCCAAATGTTATATTCTGAGCTGTTGAGTTTGTGTACCTACTTTTGCAAAATTAAAATGGTTTGATTTTAATGCTTGCTATATCTGTCTAGGCTTAGATGTATAGGATTCCTTAAAGCTGTCTTTACTAATAAGTAAATAATAATATCTAGTCTAAGTCGTGAGTAAATTTGATTATGTTCTATGTTTTTTGTTTATCTCCATAGAACTCCTATGCTCTTGTTTTTATTTAATGATTATAATTATCTTTCATTAAAAATTACTGATTTATTATTGTTGTGTCATTATGCTTAACCTAACCTACACGCTGTTTGCAGTTAACTCCTTTTCATTTTTCCCTTTTGTTCTAAAATCGGACTCTAGTTCTGGACTAGAATTTTCAGATTCGAATTCTGGGCTCGAATTTCTAGACTCGAGCCAAGCCGGACTCGAGTCAATATTCGAATACCAAACATAGAATTCGGGTACTGGTCGCGAATCAGGGAATCGAGTCATGATTCGAATACCGTATAAACTGACTCGATCCATCAAAACAGCGACTCGGCACATCACTAATCAGACGCTCATTCGTTAGCTAGGAACGCCCTCTACCGAATCCAGTCGGTGCACGCACGCTCCGAAGTACAGTCATGGCGGAAGAAAATGAGTCCTATTACTTTCCGGACAAACCCTGTATATCGATATGACGCCCCCCAGGAGCCCCCAACCTTAAAAACATCTTTTTTCGAAAATAATTTTTTAACAGCTTAATTAGGCTCAACAAATTTTGATTTTTCTTTTCAAATGTTTGGTTAGGCAGCGAAAATTTAAAAAAAAACAATGCTTTCTTGGGTTTTTTTAGATCCACTAACAAAATCGTGAATTTTTACCGTGCATATCGCCAGAAATCGGTAAAACCGCATTTCCATTGATTGTATCTAACATTTTAAACGTGAGATATCATAAGTTGACTGACTTAAAAACTCGACTGGCACATGTATCTTTTTCAATTATTTCAGGTTCCATAGTCCACATTTTGATTTGTCTTCCGAAAAATTGCGAAAATTGTAAAACCAGATTTTCCCTGGTTTTCCGCGATTTTTGACTTTTTTGATAGAGAGAGAAATACATGGCTGTCACATTAACCCGTTGTGTATTTGTGCTTTTTGGCGTTCTTTTCAGTTGCGTTGTCAAAATAATGACTTCTTTTCAAGAAAATCACTAATACATATAACCTATTTCACGAGTATCCTTCACGGTAGAATGACAACCGATTATCTAGTAATATCTCAAAATTCCCCATATCGGCAGAGGGAACACAATTCTGATGGATGCCTCAACGCCAGGTTAGACAGAGCCGTATTTTGTTTTGGTTTTTTGTACGCTACAGATTTATTTTGTACTTGTTGACAGTTCTTTTATTTAGAAAAGTTCATTTGCATACAAAAAACAAAACGCCACAAGCAAATTTTACCCGATTTATACCCGATTCATTATTGCCAACGTTGCAGGTTAACACAAAAATCTCACTTGCTGATCAGCTATTTACCTCAGTAGACGTCAAAGCGAGATGGATACTCGTGAAATAGGGTATAGTGGATTTTTAAGTCAAATTTTATAACCTAACAGGATATTTAAAAAACGGTTTCGTTTTTTTGTCAAACCGATATGTTCCACATACTATAAAAAATCTCGGTTATGTAGGATATAACAATGTAGCAACAGTAATTTATCCTAAAAGGTTTGCGCTAAATTGCACCGTAAAAAATATTTTTGACAAAACACGTTTTTAAGGTTAGATTAGGTTCATTTTCATTGGTATAGAATTTGATTGATATCTTTGGGGACAATTTTCATACGTAGTTTCGCCTATACCCTTTATTTTCACATACATACTTCAGTGATTTGCTCTTTGCCATTAAATATGCGAGGTAAATGCAATAAATCACATAAAAGAATGAATCAGAAAAAGTCACGACAAAATACAACCGGCCTATCTATCAGAGTTGCGTGTCGCTTGACGATGTGGGGAATTTTGGATGTAGTCAGACGTTATTTGTTGTCACGTTTTCCAATATGAACCTTAGTGAAAATAGTTTATTTGTGGTTGTAACATTGAACGGGGACAAGTGCTGATCCTCTTCGCGTAAGTCGGCATGGCTCGGCTTGTAACAATAAAATAATATAAAGGGTGTTTCAAATTCGACCCTCACCATTGGGATGTCGGAAACAGTAAGAGATACGAAGTCGCTTAAATAGGGGCATAGTTGCGTATTCAGGTTAATCTACAAAATGCCGCTTAGAAAGTTTCGAAGAAAAAAAAACGAATTTTCCCAATATCGTTTTAAATTTTTCCTGACTTTATTTTATTTGTAGTTGGGATTTCAAAGTAACTTGCACATTGCCATTGTCACTTGTTCTTCTCTACAAGATAGCACAATTAGAATTTCAATATGACATCTCGTCTCTAGTCCTCCAGCATCACTTTCACACATGTTCAAATTTTCTTCACTTTTGTGACCATCTTCGCGCACACCTTACGCATGTTCAAATGCTGTGTCACAATGTCATGAACCGGAGATTTTGGTAAATTTAACATCTGGGCAATTAAACGAATACTTAGTCGACGGTCTGAGTTCAAAACTTTGCTTGATCATATCAAGCGTCTCTGTCGCAGATTTACCGAGTTTCACACAGAATTTAATCGCGTACCTCTGCTCTAACGAACGCTCCATTTTCGGCTTGCACCACTCAAAGAAACACGTCGCGCGAAAATGCCTGTCCTGACTCTCGAAGTGCTCGGAGACAACTGACCAGCCGTAGCGATGTGCCGAGTACGGTTTGACTCGAGTCAGACTCCATTCCTGCTTTAGAACTCGCCTACTCGAATACCAATTTATTTTGATTCGAATACGCCGGACTCGAGTCTCGTATTCAAGTTTGGTTAACTCGCTCGTACTCGCAAACTGTTTACTTAGTGTGCAGCCACACATAAAGCTGCTAGCAGGGAAGGTAGCGAAGAGGAAGACGGAGAGTACTTCGGATACTGGCTTCACATGTCGCTGGTTTGGAGGCGTATTTTAATTCGCAAGTTCCATAAACAGTACAGAGCCCAGGTGACGGTGGAGTTGTTATTACGGAAAAATGTCTCTTGCTAATAATTTATATTTAATCGAAAATTCTAGATACTTCTACAGATAATGCTCAACAATTTGTTGTTGACGAGTTGATGATGTTGGAAACACAGGAATCTCAAGCTCAATTCCAAGTGCCAAATACACCTACAACTTCATCTTCAGATTCCCAGTAGATAACTTCAGAGGTGACTGGCGAGAATTTATGGGAGCATCTAGATAAAAGGGTATTGGAATTTTCACGCATGGAAAACCCCACAACATCGGCAATTATCAAGGTGAAACAGTACGTAGAGGTGTAGAGCTACCGTATTTGGGTAGAAAAACCAATAAACTGAAATTTTGGGAACTTCGCAAAATCACCAACAGCGGCCTATATACATAAAATAGCTTTGAAGTATTTATGTATTCCAGCCACTTCTGTGTCTTAGGAACAAGTTTTCTCTAAGGCTGGTCTTTTATGCAACCAACGCCGCAATAGACTGGAGTAAAAGAAGGTTTACCAAATACTTTTTCTGAACAGTTATTTCAAATAACTTTTAATTCTCTTATCTCTATTTTGTTTTTTTTATATATTCATTTAGTTATGTACGGTATTGTCAGTACGGTATAGGTTGCTTAGGTGGATCTGAATACCATCCCAAATGTTATATTCTGAGCTGTTGAGTTTGTGTACCTACTTTTGCAAAATTAAAATGGTTTGATTTTAATGCTTGCTATATCTGTCTAGGCTTAGATGTATAGGATTCCTTAAAGCTGTCTTTACTAATAAGTAAATAATAATATCTAGTCTAAGTCGTGAGTAAATTTGATTATGTTCTATGTTTTTTGTTTATCTCCATAGAACTCCTATGCTCTTGTTTTTATTTAATGATTATAATTATCTTTCATTAAAAATTACTGATTTATTATTGTTGTGTCATTATGCTTAACCTAACCTACACGCTGTTTGCAGTTAACTCCTTTTCATTTTTCCCTTTTGTTCTAAAATCGGACTCTAGTTCTGGACTAGAATTTTCAGATTCGAATTCTGGGCTCGAATTTCTAGACTCGAGCCAAGCCGGACTCGAGTCAATATTCGAATACCAAACATAGAATTCGGGTACTGGTCGCGAATCAGGGAATCGAGTCATGATTCGAATACCGTATAAACTGACTCGATCCATCAAAACAGCGACTCGGCACATCACTAATCAGACGCTCATTCGTTAGCTAGGAACGCCCTCTACCGAATCCAGTCGGTGCACGCACGCTCCGAAGTACAGTCATGGCGGAAGAAAATGAGTCCTATTACTTTCCGGACAAACCCTGTATATCGATATGACGCCCCCCAGGAGCCCCCAACCTTAAAAACATCTTTTTTCGAAAATAATTTTTTAACAGCTTAATTAGGCTCAACAAATTTTGATTTTTCTTTTCAAATGTTTGGTTAGGCAGCGAAAATTTAAAAAAAAACAATGCTTTCTTGGGTTTTTTTAGATCCACTAACAAAATCGTGAATTTTTACCGTGCATATCGCCAGAAATCGGTAAAACCGCATTTCCATTGATTGTATCTAACATTTTAAACGTGAGATATCATAAGTTGACTGACTTAAAAACTCGACTGGCACATGTATCTTTTTCAATTATTTCAGGTTCCATAGTCCACATTTTGATTTGTCTTCCGAAAAATTGCGAAAATTGTAAAACCAGATTTTCCCTGGTTTTCCGCGATTTTTGACTTTTTTGATAGAGAGAGAAATACATGGCTGTCACATTAACCCGTTGTGTATTTGTGCTTTTTGGCGTTCTTTTCAGTTGCGTTGTCAAAATAATGACTTCTTTTCAAGAAAATCACTAATACATATAACCTATTTCACGAGTATCCTTCACGGTAGAATGACAACCGATTATCTAGTAATATCTCAAAATTCCCCATATCGGCAGAGGGAACACAATTCTGATGGATGCCTCAACGCCAGGTTAGACAGAGCCGTATTTTGTTTTGGTTTTTTGTACGCTACAGATTTATTTTGTACTTGTTGACAGTTCTTTTATTTAGAAAAGTTCATTTGCATACAAAAAACAAAACGCCACAAGCAAATTTTACCCGATTTATACCCGATTCATTATTGCCAACGTTGCAGGTTAACACAAAAATCTCACTTGCTGATCAGCTATTTACCTCAGTAGACGTCAAAGCGAGATGGATACTCGTGAAATAGGGTATAGTGGATTTTTAAGTCAAATTTTATAACCTAACAGGATATTTAAAAAACGGTTTCGTTTTTTTGTCAAACCGATATGTTCCACATACTATAAAAAATCTCGGTTATGTAGGATATAACAATGTAGCAACAGTAATTTATCCTAAAAGGTTTGCGCTAAATTGCACCGTAAAAAATATTTTTGACAAAACACGTTTTTAAGGTTAGATTAGGTTCATTTTCATTGGTATAGAATTTGATTGATATCTTTGGGGACAATTTTCATACGTAGTTTCGCCTATACCCTTTATTTTCACATACATACTTCAGTGATTTGCTCTTTGCCATTAAATATGCGAGGTAAATGCAATAAATCACATAAAAGAATGAATCAGAAAAAGTCACGACAAAATACAACCGGCCTATCTATCAGAGTTGCGTGTCGCTTGACGATGTGGGGAATTTTGGATGTAGTCAGACGTTATTTGTTGTCACGTTTTCCAATATGAACCTTAGTGAAAATAGTTTATTTGTGGTTGTAACATTGAACGGGGACAAGTGCTGATCCTCTTCGCGTAAGTCGGCATGGCTCGGCTTGTAACAATAAAATAATATAAAGGGTGTTTCAAATTCGACCCTCACCATTGGGATGTCGGAAACAGTAAGAGATACGAAGTCGCTTAAATAGGGGCATAGTTGCGTATTCAGGTTAATCTACAAAATGCCGCTTAGAAAGTTTCGAAGAAAAAAAAACGAATTTTCCCAATATCGTTTTAAATTTTTCCTGACTTTATTTTATTTGTAGTTGGGATTTCAAAGTAACTTGCACATTGCCATTGTCACTTGTTCTTCTCTACAAGATAGCACAATTAGAATTTCAATATGACATCTCGTCTCTAGTCCTCCAGCATCAACTTTATTTTTTCATGAGGACGTCATATTGGATTTTGCACAGATGAATAGTTTTTAAATCTGATTCCAAAAATGTATAATACGTCATACATTGCCATTGCCAAACCTAGGTTATTTCAAAAATAGCATTATTTATTGGGTAGGCCTTGAAATTGCCAGATTATCATTTCTTTCGCATAGATACCAGATTCATCCCAAAATCACTTATACTTTTTCCTGACTTCATTTGAGATGGAATTTCAAAATAAAATGCATGTTGTCTTTGTTACTTATTCTCCTCTTAAGTTTTCAATTTGACATTTTTTCTTTCGACTTCCATCAACTTTGTTTTTTCATATGGACACTCTATTGAAATTTTGTAAATTTAAATAGACTTTTCAGACCTAAATTCAGTGATGTATTTCCTTAGTTGGCCATGAATTTGTTGTTGGATGAAAATTATACAGAAATAAACAGGGTTGGTGAAACCTGAGCACATGAAAATAATAATCATAATAATAATCATAAATAAGTAGAGATAAATCATAGCAGATGTTTAAAATGTCCGTAATTTTGTAGGCAAAGCCTGACTCTTCTTCTGACATTGACACTGCTCAATTTATTTTTCTTCTCAGTCTTCCAAACTCTGTTGCTATATCTGGTATATGAAAAAAATAAAATCTTTTAATTTCAAGGAATACCTTTGAAATTATGTTTTTCTGGAATAGCTAAGTTTGACAATGTCAATGTATGACATATTATACATTTTTGAAATCAGAATTGAAAACTCTAAATCCAATATGGCGTACATATGTAAAAATAAAGTTGATGCTGGAGGACAATAGACGAAACGTCATATTGGAATTATAATTACGCCATCTTTTAGGGTCAGTGAAAAATTAAAACGATTTTGGGAAAATTTGTTTTTTTCTGTCTCTCGCCGGAAGTACGTTGAATTTCGAAACTTTCTAAGCAACATTTTGTTGATTACCTAAATGCGCAACTTTGCCCCCATTTAAGCGACCGCGCATCTCTTACAGTTTTCGGGATCCCAATGGTGGGGGTCGAATTTGAAATACCCTGTATAATATAATATCCTGGTTTTAGCTTAACATCTATCAATTTGTCCTGTGATCATTTATTCACTAATTTTTAATCTTTATTTCGTTAGTGTCTTGCATCTTTTCCCGTGGTCCGGCATTATCGACGAAAACCAGGAGTTAAGCACCACCTTTAGAGTGCCAGATCTGAAAAGCGGTCGTATGATCAGGCTTATCACGCAGCTGTCACCAAAGGAGGAAGAGATGTTCAGGAACATGATAAGAAGAATGAACACCATTGTGAAGGTAAGTGTACAGGGTGATTCGACAAAAAATATGAAGAGCATAAGTTTATTATTACTTGAAAATTGCAATTTAGGTGACTATCAGCGTTGCTGTTCAATGCGAAATTTCTACCATCAGCGACACTTGCCCGTGTCTCGCATTTCTTGTTTGTTTGGCGCCAAGCTAAACTAAGAAAAGCTATTTGACAATAGCTAGCCAAGCACTTATATAGCAGATAGCAGAGGGTGCAAATGGGTACACAGCAGCTTACATGCACAGAAAAGTAGGATTTGTTGGTTACACTACCTCGCTAAGGTCAACTACAAGCTAATTGTGAGCTGATCCTTAATTTCAATTTTTTGTTGCACCAGATCCATTTAAAACTTGAGCTAGATCGAAGAGGTCAACTGCCTAAAATTGTCTTTGGTTTTGAAAACTCGAAAGTTGAATATATAAAATTATTGTTCGAAGGAATGTTTGGAATATGGTATCTCAGAACTTGATGAGGTTGATGAAAGAAATTTGCCGCATTTTGAGTTGTGATAACATTTTCTCAAGCATTTGGCACCAACCGAGAAACGTCTCTGTTCAGATTAATTGGAGAAAGGCTGGCATTCCTTGATAATTGACAAGGATATATCATCAAATACACCAATTACACAGGCCTGTGTTACTTTCTTACTTAAAATACTAATTAGCAATTTTGATATCAGGTACTGAGCTACGAAAAAATTAAAAATTTCCATCACGTATACTCTTTAAGAAAATTGCTTTTTCATTTTTTCTAGTATTTATGCCTGTTGTAATTATATAAGTAGATAGATCCTAATTGAAACACCGAAACAGCGTAACTCCAAAGAAAAGTGTGAATTCCTATATACAGGGAGAACAAAATTTGTCTGAAGGCTTGAATTCAATGTGTGTTAGAGAGAACCGCGAGAAGTGTGTACCAAATCATGTTGAAAGAGATAGAAGCCGGCTGAAGAGCGAAGGTCATCACTACACTGCCCAGCGACGGTGACACAGAATGTCGTGAAATCTGCCGCGTTGCCATTATGTTACACCAGAAAAGGTTCGCACAGGCTTCTTCAATAGGTTAGGTTACTGTCAAACCCAAGAAGCCGATCTGCCATGCGAAATAAGTAAAGAGATTGACTAATGGTTCCATGTACATGGCTTGACTGCCTTAAGGGAAATTGCACACCACTGTACAAGCCGATCCGTAACGCAGATGCTCTCACTCTTGCATGCACATACATGAATTGGGTGATAGAGGACCGTTGCTGTTTACACTCACTTTCTGAACATTCACCTAATACAGACTGTCGACATTGTAGTTATATCGTTAGACACTAACTATGTTTTATATCGAGAGGGAAAATATTTTAACACAAATCACACGTCTTTGACAAGCAAATTATCTCAGGGCCGTATGGTCAGTCGTTCCGACAATTGTAGGACTCCTTTATGGCCTAGACTTGATTTTCGTAGTCTCTTCTTTCCTTCAGAAAGGCTGTGGTATTTCTAGATTTCTACTGTTCCGTATCAGCGTCAGCACTCTGCTATTGTGAAGATGTTTTCTTTTTGAATCTCAGGAAATTTCAGACTGATAAAACACGATATAAATCAAAAGCATGATCAATTTTATGCAAAGAGATATTTGTCACATAACCTAAAATAGAGCGCTGACACGGAACAGTAGAAAGCTATGAAAATCAAGGCCATAAAGGTGTCCTACAATTGTAGGAACGACTGACGATACGGCGCTTACTGACAAAGCCAAGGATAAATGTGAAAGACTCATACTTCAACGTGAAAATGTTCACGGCGGTAGGCAGTGACACAAAACTAAAAAAACTCATGGATGTATAAAAGCAATTCCTGTAGTTTGACTGTGACCCGCCAAAAACTGTGAAGACACCTATAGATAAGTGCATCAATCCCAAAAAACCGAGGTAACCCTGCATAGATATCGAATAGATATCTCTACCTCTGAGGAGGATACTAAAAAGTCCAGTGACAGTGTGTAAAGGTTATGGAGAGCAGATACCAAGGAAGGTGGGACACGAACATGACAGCAGATTAGTGTTGGATGTTGAGGAGAGGTGAACCGGAGAGAAAACACGAGAAATCTGTTTCTGACATTTTGAAGGCAGTAGAAAAAATACTAATTGTTTGATTCAGTTAGTCCCGTTAGCATTATTTTCGACAACTGCTGTTGGTCTTTTAGATAAAAATTTAATTTCACGTTCAAAAATTTTTGTTTTCTCATAAAAATTTAAAAGTAGATTTCGACGTGCTAGAAAACAAGCAGATAAATATTTTGGTTCCACATACACAGGTTATTAAAAAAATAGCAACCATTGGAGGGGGAAAAGAAAAGTTGAATTTCACGGGCCTGTGCTATTATAACGATGGCTTTTTAAAATACACTGTGAAAGCTATAACGAAATGTGATTGATTTCCAATGTTTATAGGTGTATAACCAAATCCACCAAGCTGTAATTGCAGACAATTGCCCTAAAAAGTTACTACAGATAAACTGTTGTCAGATGTAGCTCTATCTTGGCCAAGTGTTTGCCAAATCGGAGTCGAACAGCAGAAACCTAGTTTAAGCTGTACCTTAGCATATGGACCACCTTTGATAGGCGATGCAATCCGACATAAGCCCTTCTCTACCCATAACCAACAATAAATACAGTGACTTTCCGATCATTAGAACCTTGGGACACCGTATTTAGTTTTGCTAGGAAGACATTGACAGACGGTTAATCAGTTTTCATTCATTCATACTTTGCCTTTCTTATATTCCAGGCTGCTCAAGATATGGACGTCCGTATCATGGTCGATGCCGAACAGACCTATTTCCAACCGGCCATAACTCGAATCACGCTAGAATTCATGCGAAAGTACAATAAGGACAAAGCGATAGTGTTCAACACGTACCAATGCTACTTGCGGAACGCGTTGTCGGAGGTCACCACCGATCTGGAGCAAGCTAAGCGACAGAACTTCTATTTTGGCGCCAAGTTGGTCCGAGGTGCTTACTTAGAACAGGTAAAAAATAATTTATGGGTCTAGGTACATAGCTTTTTCAAAAAGGACGCAACAACGTCGCTTTATTTTAAGATATTCTTGGATAATTTTCTGCCAAATCAGAAATGTCGCAATGTCGTAAAGAGGGTCTTAAAATAACCAATTGTCCGTTGATCTAAGATATTTAATGGAATAAGTTATAGTACGAAATGATTAAAATTACTAAAATCAATAAAATTGTATAGATCTGACACTTTTCATTAGGATGACATTTTGATGGCTCTTTCTGCAAAATATTTTGTCAGTTAGCTAGTTGCATTTTCCTCCCTTCCGAAATACGATACTAATGCTCCATTATACAAGGCCAAAGGCTTCTCTTTGGCACCAATAGGTCATTGGACTATCACATTCAGCCTAAAAAAATAATACAAAATTTTGCAATCGATGGTCGTAAAATAGTCTGACTGCCGAACCGACTTACGAGGGCTGTAAATTAAGAGATGAGGATTTTTTTTTTATTTTGCTTATTCAAATATAATTACAATTTCATATTGCCGCCCACAAAATAACTTCTTTCTGAAGCCACAGCAATGGAGACGGTTCTTCCACTTCTCATAGCATTGCTTGAAATTGGTGTCATTCATTTTCAGAACACAATAGAAAAAACTGTTTAACAAAAAAATCGCTACGGACAACCAAATGAGTCGAACGAGTTCAAACTAGTGAAGGCGGCTCACATGATCCCCTGTCTCATCACGCTACGTTGACAGTCTCATCAGTTAATTTACAGACCTCGTACTTGACATATTTAGAAATTTCACAGTGCTACCAAATGACTTGAGACAGATTGTTTCTATCAACAACACGGACAAAAAGATAATTCACTTTCAGAATGCACTAACTCTGTGTTCCAGGAGCGAGCAAGAGCCGCCGCAATGGGTTACCCCGACCCTACAAACCCCAATTTCGATGCTACCACCGAAATGTACCACAACACTCTGAGCGAGTGCCTGCGGCGTATCAAGGAGTTCAAGATTAAGGGCGAGGACAAGAAGATTGCCATTATGGTGGCCTCCCACAACGAGGATACTGTCCGATTCGCCATCCAGAAGATGAAGGAGTTCGGCATCGAACCCGCCGACAAGGTCATCTGTTTCGGACAGCTGCTAGCTATGTGTGATTACATCACCTTCCCCTTAGGTAAGTATTTAGATATCCATGCTTAAAAAAAAAACAACAAAGACCGATCTAAGTCTAACAATTTGCCTTTACATTTAAGCTGACTGAGGTGATCTCAAACATTTTTCTACAGTTTGGAAAGATGCCACTAAAAAACATAATCATGCTGATATTGTGTGATGCTTGCAGGGGTCCTCATTTCATAACTGCAAGTATCATATTGCAATTGCGCTAAATTGCGATTTCTTGTCAGTTTACGCCTTTGGCAAAATTGATTTCTGCATACTGGCTAAGAGTGTGTTGCACTGTTTTGAGTGGCATATTTTGAGATTCCAATATTACGCATTAGACGACACTCGCACCACGCCACGCGTACTCACGTGAACGCCACCTATTGAGGAATGGCACAAGTACCTATAGTGTAGAACCTTCAGCTTAGGCCATACAAGTTATGAATGGCCTCCGCTATATCTAAAGCATATGTTACATCAGAGCCACCGCACAGAGCTCAAGTATGTTGACGTTTAGGCAACACACCACAGATACTACACCTGAGCATGAAGTGAATGATAGCTAGTTCCAAAGTGACAATTATGGGTATGAGATCGTTATCTTTGCCATTTTGCATTTATGTAATAAGGGTGCCTTTTTGGCTTATGGGCAGCATATACCCTCGTACATCAAAATCAATTAGATCAGACAGCTCTGAATCTGTACACGCCCATTGTTGCACGAATAAGCAGCTGAATGAAATCTTCATACTCGGTCGTATTACATTCTTTCTGTCATATTTGACCATCGTAGGTGGTATACGGGTCTCAGACTGTCGAATGAGAAAGTACCACCCGGCGGATGTCTTAGACGGGGCCAGAATGTATGCATGCCACATGCACACGACCCCCCTTTCATCTCTATCTCCCAGTAGACGCACGACTCCCCTGATGTTTACCTTAGGCCTTCATGGTGGTTCAAGTTTAAAAAATTCCGCCACATTTTGCTCCAAAAATATACTATGTATAGTTCAACAGGTCTGCAACTCACAAACTATGATAGCGAAATGTGGGTTGCAGTAGTTTAGGCAGTTACCAGCAAAACGGCCATTGCATCATTCCTCCATAGGTGGCCCTCACGGTGTGTGAGCTATCTGAACAGTGTACGACCTAGTGCTACTTTTGTAAACACCACTGTAAGTTGTTTTTCGCGTAAAATCATACTTTTGAAAACAGGCAATGCCGCATTTTGTCCAGAAATGAATATAATTCTACTGCCCATAATGGCAATTGCATATGGTTGCAGTCCAATGGCAGACGGCCTCTCTGGTGGTGGCCAAGAAGAGTTGAGGGAATTTCGAAAATTAGCCCTCTATCATAAGCATCCTAAAACTCCAAGGCCAAAATACTCGCTAAAATGCATGAAGCCAATCTCTCCCAAATATCTCAGTGCCGGGGATAGCAACGGTTCCCACTATGATGAAGGATATTTTATACAGAAACCTAAATACCAAAGCACCGTGGCTGCTTTGAGAAGCTTGGAGACAATGTTAATCCGATTTTTGAAATGCCTAAGGATAGTAGATCTGGGAAAAACCTCCTTCCACAATCTTGATGCCCTATGATGAAGGTGGGAGAGTTCTGAGGAGCAAAGCCATTCGACATAATGGCAGAAAAGAGTTAGATCGCTAACGGTCCGTCGGTACCAAAGGATCCCGAGACTCCGTTGGAGAAGGGTCATCTATCTCTCGGACAGCCCATCTCTGCACCGCGGCCAGCATGGATAATGTAGTAGGGGCGGTAACACCGCAAACATGTGAGCAGTGCTCGAGGCTAGATCTTATCTGGCGTTTGTACAGAGTGAGGAGGTTATGAGAAAAGTACTTTTTGGCCCAAAACAAATAGTAGCTGCCGGAATTGATGAGACGTGTTCGAGTCAGATTAAATTCTCGGTGATCTGAACTCGGACGAGCTGAAATGTTCGGCTCTTTGGTAAAACGTTACCATCCATCGAAACCGGATGAGCGCTAGGGCGCTTCTTGGTAGTCAAGGTGCAGTACTGTGTTTTGGAGCATTGCACTGTACTAAATTGTTGCGTCCCCAAGGAGTGATAATCTCCAGGTATCTCATCAAAGAGGGAATCGCTGCTAATCTTCTTAGAGAGAAAGTCAGCCACCCATCTGCAAAGCTTCTCTGGGAGCCCATGGGATGAAACCTTGCATAAGAGGGCATCCTGCCAGAGCTGGTCGAACGCTTTCGTGATATCAAGAGCAACGACATGAGCCTGTGGATCGCTGCCGCCTGCAAAGGTGTTTTTTTGTGATTTTACTGTTGAGGGACTTTGACTGGCCTTTTGATGATTCGAAGAGCGATGCGTAAAAAGGACATGCGCTTCGCGCTTGTTGAGACCCTGGTACAATATTTAAACCAGCCTACTAAAAACTGAAATCTGTCACGAGACATTTACATCTCGTACGCGACAGCAAGGTGCTTTTAGGAAAATTATTGTGCTACCTTATCTAAGTATCAGTGAACACAAGCAGGTTATAACACTGACAGGTGCGACCTACAAATGATTCGCTACACCTTGATACGTTTCTGCGAATGGGTAGATATCACCTACCATCATTGAAAGGACGACGTGTCAATCACCCGGAATACAGGTATTTTCAATGCAATGGGAAATGGCATGCTAAATTGGAGAATACCTTTTTTGCCGTAGAGCGTAGACCATGCTTGTTGCGTTCCGTTTGAGCATAAAGTTGTATGCGGTTAGACATGATTACAGAAATGGAAAGCAAAAATATTCTGTTCAGCCTGTATGAATTAAGGTATTATTTGGGGGCTTAAAAATGGTAAAATTTCCCATTGGATGTAAGCGATGAGTTAACAATTTTTAATTGATATTTTAGGTCAGTCAGGTTACTCTGCATACAAATACATCCCATACGGTCCAGTGAACGAAGTCCTGCCGTACCTTTCTAGGAGAGCGCACGAGAACAAAGGTGTCCTCAAGAAGATCAAGAAAGAGAAGAAACTGTTAGCTAGAGAAATTTTGAGGCGCGCAGTCACAGGCCAGTGGTGGTATACACCTAGGGGGAAATACGTTCCAGTCTAAAGAGTAAGTCTGCATTTCTGTTATTTGCACAACATTTGTCCACGATAGCCTTATTTCCTTTTTGCGGTGTCGAAAAAAGTAACAACACATTTTTTTGTTAAAAAGTTTAAAGTATGCGACTTTTTATTTTATTGGAAGAAAATTAATCAACCAAGATGAGGGCCCGTATTTTTGAAATCGGTTGTATTCGAAAAGATACCGAAAGGCAGACTATCACATGTAACATTGAGTTGAGATCACGAAGATCGTTTTGACACTTCAGGCGTGCCTTTACTTAAATAATTCTGAACGGTATTTGGAACAGCTATATTGGGCGCTTTGATAGGTGGTTCTATAGTGGAATTTTATATCAGTACTTCTAATTAGTTTGACGTACCTGATGTTGTATTTAAAAACACTTTGAGACACATATTGAAATACTACAGAATGCATCTACACTATATTTCCAAGTAATTTGCGAATATTAAATCTTTATCAAATTATTATCAGTTAGTAGTTATATGGATATTCATTTTAAAACCGATATATTAACTAAGTACAATTCAATAATACCTACCTTGTTCTTAGAAATGTTTATATATATTTCAATTAATGCTCAGACCTACAGATTTTCCAGTATGGAATATCTATAAAGTGATTGTCGGAAGCTTAAAAAACAAGTTAAACTTTATTTAAAATAGAATGTTATCAACATTTTCCTGCAAGTATAACGTGCAAAAGGGAATCGTTTATCTAGAAAAATACCTTCAAATCCACTGTTGATGAGAGAAATACTAGCTCAGTCACACATCCATAATCAAGCTATGACATACAGTAGCAGACAAGTTTCGAAACATTCTTAGTATTTTTTAAAAAGTGCGCTAATTTTTAATTCTTTACTATTAAGGACTGTTTTGCTTACAGTGTTGAGGATACAAATGGCAATTTGTTTGCTGTGGTACTACAGACTATTATTAAAATACCTTCCTCTTATTTTATGGCCAAGAATGAGACGACAAACGTATGGAAACATATTTTTTATTACAAAATTAAATACAATAACTCTACAAAAAGATTCAAAAAAATACTGTTTAGCTAATATTTGGTAGAATAGCCTTTAGTATTCAACACTGCCTTGCATCTTCTGCTCATAGAAGACACCAATTTTTTACAGACGTCTGTTGGCATATTATGCAATACGATTTTTTTTAAATGAGGGGATTTTGCACTGGACGCCTACCAAAAAGCCCAACATCCCTCAAGCGTCTCTGTATTGATCTGACAGAAAGATTCTCGGCATCCTTTTCTACGATTCTTCTGAAAATCTGTGTGGCTGGCATTCGAGGATCTTCATGGGACAAACGTTTAATGTAGCGATCCAAAACATAATCGTTTTTCGGTCTTTCGCACCTGCCGTTGGTCCGTATTCTTGATATTTACTAATAATTTTCGAAATCGTCCCTTTGTTCAATTTCAATCTTTGAGAAATGACAACATTCCTGATACCAGTTCTAAATTCAATTACTTTGTCTCTTAAATCTTTTGAAAATCCTTTTACTTTTGCCATTCTCATTGATGTTAATATTTACCGCACGCAATACCAGAGTATCGCATAACGGATGAATATGGCAGAACTGAAATGTTTCCATACTTTTGTCATTACAAAAACTGTGGTATTTAAAAAACTCGTGTTTTTATTTTCGGAGAATTTGAATATTGATCAGATAAACCTTGTATTAGTACGGGAGCCAAAGATAGACTTTAATATTTATACGTATATTATCTGTTCCTTCACAATTTTAAGTTAGGTATATGAAATAAATAGTTCATAATAATGGTAATATTTGTAAAAGTAGCAACGCATGTACAATGCTGTATTACTATGTCCAGCGAAAATAATTGGCCAATGACGATCAATCATTACCTGTCACATGACAGTACCACCACTCTTAGAAATTGGACGTTTGTGATATAATTTATTTGCGTTGTTTTAATAGATATCTAAAAATATGGATTATTTCCAGTACTTCTAATTGCTCTTTTCAATTTTAATTAGATACATTTACATGTTTTCATTTGATGAAAATCATCATTAGACATTTTATAAACTTGTACACCCACATCAAGGCTGGACTCGGTAGCGTAGCAGATATGCGCCCGAAAACAGCGAACTCTCCCTCGCTTCGAATCTCAACCGCGCCCAACTTTTTTTTTTACTTTGCTATAATACTTTTATCCACTAACATTGGATGTTTGTATGAAATTTTAATGTATACTGCCACTAATAATTTTTGATAAGTTCCTTAGGTACTGACGAAATATGCATAACACATTATTCAGATAAATTGACTAAGTTAGTTGACTTTGACTTTACAAAGTAATTTTTGAACTATTGTATGCGGGTTTTTGCATTTGAACAATAAAATGCAAACCAACACTATTTCGGATACCCATGCTCAAATTGGTTTTGCCAGTCGCCACCCACTGACTGTTACTAAAACAATAGCGTCGTTCCTAGTTTTTACAGGCACTCAGCCGCTACTTATCAAAATCAAACCCATGCAACTAGATGGAACCATCTGCACAGAAATAAAAATAATTTATGGAATTCCAATAACGACCTATCAAGAAATTATTAGTGGTACTATTGCAGTATGAAATCAAAGCTAAAATAGCAAAAGAAAAGGCTGCGAATGTATTTCTAACTAACTCCAATATGGATGATTTGGTGACCACTTGCACTGGCACTCGACCAACCACGTTGCTTTCGTTACGTTTTAAGAGCGGATACTTACCGATTCGGCTGTGTAAATAAAAATAAAGTTTTTTTATTAATATTTTTGATAATTTTTGTGGCATGCTTCTACAATTCAAAAACAAATTGAAACGTTGTATGGGATTAAAAAGAAAACAATAAAAATTGGTATTTTGTTCAAAATGCGATTCAGTGCGAGTATTAATAATCTATAATCGGTTGCCATGACGATAGGCGATAATTATCGTCTAGAATTTCAAACGTACCAGCTCTTGTAACATCTAACATCGTATACGACTTTTATCACCGATTTCAAATATACGGGTCCAGGGATGGATTGTCAACCACTCCAAAATGTTGAAGGCACGACCCAGCGAAATTCTTTCATTAATCCTTTGTAGTTTGTCTTTCTATTATGAAATAGTTCATTATTCATAGATATATTGAATTAGTACTATGAATATGAAATGATCCGTCAAATGTCATATAGTATGTTACCACCAATATTCCATAACCTGTTATCATAATTAGTATAAATGGTATCACTAGCTTGATGAAAGGGATTCGACCTGTACCGGGACTCTCAATCTCCAATTTTGTCAAATCAAACAAATCGGACACCAGGTAACACCAAGGTTGGTATGGTTGTTATCCAGGAGGATATGCAAATGCCCTTTTCAGCACTTACACAGTATCAATTTATGTCAAAAATTAAGGGTATTATGATTGATCTATACTTATATTGCACCATATAAACATGAATTAGGTATGATAGTATGTATTTTTAACATCAAATGAGTGAGCAGCTGAAACGTCCCGTTATTTCGCGAAATTCAGTGAAACCTTTGTTGTGCTTGATACAAATGCCCACAAGTAAGAATCGTGCGTGGCTGTACCTTCTGTTTCCACCAGCAGAGCTGGCTAAAAAGCCTAAATGATAGTAACTAATCATTATCGTGGTAACTTCAGAATACCATAAGGAGCCAAGAAAATGAACATCCCAGAAACACCAGTAAACCGCAAGGGGTTAATGCGAAAGTCGCATAGAAAGTAAACATTTCATCTATCTCATCTTTCTGTTCACATAACATCCAAGTGTTTTATACGTAGTCGTGCCATAAGTTCTGTCCCATGATAATCTCATGATAAAAATGAAACAAGATAAGATATATTTATATGAAAGATATTATTTATTCGACAACATTTTTAGAATTCATAATCAAACAGTTTTATTCAAAATGTCCCCCCTTGGCCTTCACACACTGCTTCAATCTCGCGGGCCACTCATCTATCACTGCACGCACAGCTTCCAAAGGAATAGCTGCCGCTGATCGGATCAAATCCGCTTTCAGGGACTCGATATTACGGTGGGCTTTGGAGCAGGCCAACTGCTCTAGCAGGTCCCACAACTTGTAGTCTAAAGGATTGAGGTCCGGACTCCCTGAGGGCCAATCTTCCGCAGCAATGAACTCTGGCACATTGCTTTCCAGCCAGCGCTGCGTACTCTTAGCCTTGTGAGCGGGGGCGGAATCCTGCTGGTAGACCCAGTGTTGGTTGGCAAACAATGTACCACTTAAAGGCTTGACGATAGGATCCAGTATGTCGCTCTGATAGTTTGCCGCTTTTGTTTTCACGCCCTGTTTACAGAAATGGAGCTGAGTGACCCCTTCGTAGGACACCCCCCACCAAACCATGACTGACGCAGGGTGGTGGCCTCTCTCAACTCTCGGAATGATCTCCGAAGCTTCCTGTGAACTCCTTGCATACACTTTGTCATTTTGTCGGTTGAATTTTTCTTCTATGGTGAAGATTTTCTCATCCGTGAACAAAATCTTTCGGAATCCCCCAGCTGCGTACCTCTCCAAGAGCTTCTTGGATCTTGTCGCCCTGATGTGTCGCAAGGTGGCCGTAAGTCGCTGGCCCGTACGTCTCCGGTAAGCCCCTAGCCCTAGGTCTTGTTTAATGATGCGCGACATCGTCCGGACAGGAATCTTCATTTCCCTGGATAGGATCTTCTGCTTCCGGAGTGGATTCCTTTGAATCCTGGCTTTTACGGCTTTGATGGCTGCTGGAGTCCTTACTTGACGAGGTCTTCCGCTTCTTGGCCTGTCATCAACAGAGGACGTCTCATTGTACCGCTGAATGGTCCTAGACACAAATTTACGCGATATTTGAAGGCCGCGTAAGAGTTCAAAAATCTGACTAGCACTGTGATTACACTTATGTAAAGCTATCACTGCAATACGGTTCTCTGCCTTGCCCCACTCCATCGTTATGCTTCGAGAGATCAATACAAACTGAGGTATATGTAATTACCCGAAAAGCGCTTAATCAACTGACACCACAATGTAAACAATCGGACAAGTATTAACAGGTCTACACTTGTTTGAAAACGAGGGACAGAACTTATGGCATGACTACGTAGTGATACTTCCGTAGCTAACCAACTGTAATGTCAGTAGCACAACGAAACATCCAGGTTTTACTACTTCATCACTAGGATAGCTGAGGAATGTTGTAGCAAATATCAGCGAGATGTATCATCCAACGTGTTTTTATCTTTATCTCCAACTCATTGGGAACAGAACTGTATCTAGCTATGTTCTATTCGCAGAACTACAATGCTATTAGCAAATTGTAAAATTCATATAAGAGAAAAAAAGCGCGATTTTTTTAAATGCTGTAGAACAAACCGGTCTTGTAATACACATTTATCAGTGCTTTAAATCTCTATTGAATTGTTACTTTTGTTTCAGGAATGAGCTACACTTTGAAAATATACTTGAACTGTCCCGTTTTTAGCTGGCGACTTACGTATTTGTAGATGAGTAGTTATAAAAGACAAGTCGATCTGTTCTATTTTTTAAAACTTGAGTCTGCGTGAACGCAGTATCATAAGTGAAACTTAAGTCTAAACGTATTTTCAAATAAGGAAACATTAAGGTTACTATGATTTTGCGTCAACTACGGCACGAACACTAGAAAGGCTGATGTACTTGGACAATAGTAGTTGCAACAGGATGGCGGAATGATTTTGCGCCTTTTTTGTACACAAGATCGTGCAGTGATATGTTCGAGTAATTCAAAAAAGTATTATTATTTATTTATTTAATCGGTCTCGAAAGCATAGCACGATCTTGTTTTCGAAATGTATCGATTAGTTCACGCAGACTATCAGAACAACAACAACAAAAATGTTTAGTCAAAATTCTGTACAGATAGATGTGGATGAATGTTCTTATATACCTGTGTATTTATTGACTGGTTTTCATCATGCAGGCTGTTTCTTCGATACTTTTAGTTCACTATCATCTCTTACTTTCATCAGTCACTCTTTTCAATATGCAGTAGTAGCAAAAACTTCAAAACATCATGTAAGTGCAGGAACACGATTTCCCCCTTTTTAGCCATTATATGTTAATCAGATTATTTGTTTTTTATACACCAAAGGTGAGATTCATAAAGCTCCGCTACTAATTTTACCTCAACCAAAGTCAAGAACATGACCAGGGCTAGCAGTGAAGGACGAATGTAGATGCTGCGAAAACAAAAAAAAAGTTCGTCAATTTTGCCCTAACGAACAAGGTTCAAAATTGTTTTCAAATAAATTTATCTCAAAATAGCCTTAGAGCAAAGATTTTCTTTATTTTATTTACTTGGCGACCTTAATTATGATTTTTAACCGAGTTTTAAGCTTTGAATATACCTATTTTTAGGGCTTTCTAGACATTAAATGGTCTATAACTCGAAAATAGTCAGCTTTACAGAAAAGTTAATGGAATCTTTTTTTTTTTAAATGATCCAAGAAACCTGAAAAAGGTCCGAGCAAAAAAATTTAATTTATTTAATAAATTGTTTAAACGAATTTGATCCGGGTTACCGTTGCAAGTATGTTCAGTGCTTAAAAACTCGGTTAAAAATTATAATTTTTGAGCTCGTCAAATATCTAAATTAAAGCTAAAAAGTTTTCAACCTTATTTTTCAGACCACAATTAGTGAATGTTTGGCTTTCGCAGACGATATTTTGGCATGAGTGGGACTAAATCATGGGAGTCATTAATTTCCACAAACATTCGAGTTACACCATATTAAAAACAAATTCCTAAATATTTTCTCGTTATTTTATATGTGTATTTTTATATAAAAAGGAAAGTCCATAAAAAGTCCACATCAAATTACACTTATTTGTAGGATTACCTTCGTCACAACGAGAAAATGTATATGAATCTGCCAAACTGTTCTTGGATGTTACCCAATAAGAATTGAGGGAATGATGTGAATAATTGATTGAATTTATAAGCTGTAAAAGAGCTTTATGAAGTCGATCCTATATGGAGAAAAATGGTAATAGCTATATCCAGACTGGCTGTCAAATAAACAAGCAGAATTTTCTAACTTACTGACATTTGAAACATTTGTTCATTTTTAGAATATGTTTCAACATAATATTGGGTCTGCCAACGGCACGTTGTCTGTTGAAATGCCGGCTGTTTGTAGTTTTTCTCCATGTGACGTGTCTTAATGATATTGGGAATGATATTTGTTCGACATTTTAATACGCCTATAGATATTTTAAGTGAAAACACTTCAATAGCCTGTGATTTTCCATGTAAAAAGTGTTAAAATGTTTCAGTTTTTTTAAATTGTTCCGGTGTGTATGGAAATAAATTTAACAGAAATTAGCATTTTTGTTTTTATTCATGTGTGTAATATCAGTGTTAAACATGTCAAAATTAACGTGGTTTCGGATGATCAACATGGATATAGTCACTCATGTTAATTTTGGCCATGTTTCTAAAATAAATATGACAATAAGTACAAATCTAATAAAATGTTATGAGTGTCCAATTTTTCTTTCAACCTCCTATATAATTATGACCGATCTTGAAAGAAAGTACATTTTAAAAATTCGTTTTTAATCTAGAAATTTTATGAACTAGTCATATTTTCAAATCAATGAAGTATATATTGTTAATGAGACTTTAGTCAAAGACAGCGATGTCCGCTAGGAGCGCTAGTGTGGGTGGAGGGGTCAAATGTAGATGGTGAAAAAGACAAATTTGATAGAAGGAAGGCAGACTTGATAGAGAGGTGATGGGACAAATAGTTTTGATAGAAAGGTATTCTATTTTTCACGTTTTGAGGTCTTATTGACGTGAACAACTTATCATAAATCGATATGTTTGTCTGTTTATATCCTTAGTTACGACCCCCCCCCCTACCTACATCTATTTCTAGCTTTACAGATTTACCACCATTTCAGTAGCATTTAAAAGCTTTTGCCATCAAAAAACTAATACTGCCAATTCCGCAATTGACTATCGAAGCACGTGGATGCAGCTTGCGCGAATTCAGGGAACTACAATACTTGAAGTCTTTTTGACGCACCACGTGGGCTTAAAAAAGGGTGAATTTTAAAAATACGTTCGTACAGTCTGTGAAAATCAAAATTTTAGCCTGAAAAACAAGGCCGAAATCGCTTTAAAACAAACTAACCTCAAAATACTCTTCAAGGTCTAGTAGAGTAAGATTTGTACTTCAGTTTGGATACCTATAAAGTATGAAGCAGAATTTTTAAGCATTAAATATACACAGATCAAATTTGTTTAAACAATTTTTTTTTATTAAATTGCTTTTTTCAGGTTTTTTCCATTATATCTTAAAGCTGACCGATTTCGAGTTATAAGCGATTTTATGTCTGAAAAGCCCTAAAAGTGGGTCAATACTTAAAAACGGTTAAATATTATTATTTTTGAGGTCGCCAAGTATGAGAATTAAAGTTTAAACCTTGCTTTATAAGACCTCGATGGGTATTTTGGGATTACTTTATTTTAAAGCAATTTTTAACCTTGTCTGTTAGGCCAAAATAGGCGAACAGAAAGGTTTTCACAGACCGTACATGCTTCATCGTAGACCAATGTAAAACCTTTCTCACGCCTAGGGTCGACGTCCGACCGACTTTAGCCGGACACCTAAACCATGTTTGGCTTTTTTCGGCCCTATCCGGCCAAATGTTTATGCATCTGGCCTTCAGTGCGAGTGTTCATTCTACCTACCTTATTTAACATAGTATTTATTAATTCCCCTTATTTCTCTGGCCAATTGAAACCACATGCGTTGAACAAATCTTTATTGTAAACGTTTCGATCACAACAGTGACTTCCTACAGTACAATGACTTTAGCATTATATTTTATTTATGTCTTCCAGGTGACACTTCCTTTGTTTTTTCTTTTTATTTCCATATTCCTATACTGTGTGTTACTACAACAGTTTGAAAGGTCCTGTACTGAAGGTTACCGTTGTGACCGAAACCTTTACAACATGTAGTTTTGATTGACAAGATAAATATGGGGGATTATCGACATGAATACCACAGGATAAATTTCAGATGTTATAGTATTTATTATTGTAATATGATGTGTGTTAGGTCAGGGGTGATGGATCCAGTATAGGGTCATAGAAATCGAAATCCGCTTTAATTATCACAAAGGCATTCGCATTGACAAGTACTTATGCAGACAAGCGGTGCTCCCAGACAGATAGCTTCCTAATGGGTAATGGGCAATAGATATTATCATTATAAATTCGTTACTGACTCAAAGGCCGGAACCGCCCTTGCGTTCAGCTTTCATAAAATTTATCTTGAGCTATTAAGAAGATAATGTTCGGCTTTGAGTACCAAATACATCGCAGAGTCCGCCGTTCTCAACCGTACTCACTCCATACCTAATCAACTAGGTGTACAGTATTATATGATTGAATGCTAAATGAAATCAATGTTTAATTTTTTTCAAACGTTTATTTTTTAATATAATTAATATACATAGACAGCATAGTCTACACAATATGTGTAACATCTGTCAAGGGCATCGTAAAAATTTTACTCCATAATTTACAAAAGTCACCAGAGATAGATAGCATTTTTACAATGTTGACAAGGAAAATACATATAAATATATGTAACACAGTTCCCAACGAAAGTTATTTTTCTAATGCATGCAATATACTGTTACTACAAGTAATCAGTTTTAGTAAATAAAATGGTTATATTATATATATATTTGGAAAAATTTCTGTAATTGAATCCAAAATGTGGGACGGACAATAATAATTATACAGGATGATTAAAAAACAACATCGATAGTTCTAAAAAGTATGTGTATCCAAAAATATCATGAAACATTACTAACATATGTCCTAAAATCTCCCATTACCTAGAATACAGGGTGTGGAAAATTTCTACATCACTGATGTGACATAAAAAAACATTAATATTATTCAAATAATGCTGTAGCGAGTTGAGATTACTCCCTCATTGTAATATATATATATATATAAACTTTTAATATTAAGCTTTAGATTCATTCTGTGAGAGTTAAAATATCCCAGGTTTTTTTTTTGTTTTTAATGAGTCTTCTGCTAGTACTACTGCATATACAAAATGTAAGTCCATACCTGAATCCGCTTCGGAGATAATTTGGAAATTACGACTTCAACACCTTGTATTTCAACTTGACAGTTTGGAACCCACGTTTGTATCAACATTTTGTGTTATTTTTGGACGTACTTTCCCCCTTGGAATATGGATGTTATTTTCTGAACCACTTTGTGTTAGTGTGTTTATTCAATATAATCATTTTAAATATACGAGTACCTTTATTAACAAAAGTACTTTTTAAATATATTGTACTTTGACGCTCTGATCAGAAACTCAAATCATAAAAAATGCATCCCTTTTTTATGATTTCACACCTGTTCACTACACATCCATAATATACTTATAACAAATTAGCTATGATTGCCAATAAAATTTATTTCGTTGCCTATCATGACAATGGGTAAAACTGGTTACTTATATAGTTCGAATAACAGAAAAAGAAAATAAATCTGGTGACTATTTCATTCAAATGACTATTCTCCTAATTCTACCAACAAAATCGAAATGCAGCTCTAAAACATTTTACAAAAAACTAATCGTTTTAACAAATTTTCTTTCAGATAAAAGCTGGTGATGATTATACCCAATATCAAGACTGATTGTGGTTTTGTGGATACTATGTATGTATGAAAAAGAGAATTACGATATATCGTAAGAGCAGGATAATCTCCAATTATATAAGAACTTCAAAACATATCAATTTTTTAATTGTTCCTCAACTGTCATACCAATGTTGATCACTAGATTTAGGAAACAGGGATTATCAGCCAGATGGAGACGTTCTTATTTACTATGTCTAATATAAAGAAATTAGAATACGTGTGTATAAACTGTAAACACATGTTCAAAAAAAGACTGCCTTCCAAAGAAATGATAAAGGTAACACTGTAAAGCCCTAATCCCATAGCAATAAAAATTCAAATATTTGTATTTTCTAAATGAAACTGCCGATTGTAAATGACATTCTACACACAGCCATGACATAATCGTATTGAATTTAGTCTAAGAATATTTTTTCATGTATTTGAGCATTCTCTAACGTCATGAAAGTACCATCACTGCTCCTGCGGGATGATAAAAGCCATATGGCTACCTTGTTATGCGTAGACGTTCAAACGGTTGACATTATTTGGTCACCAACGTAGCACATATTCAAACAAAATAGGGGACGTAACTGTGTGTGTGTATCCACCGAGTCTTGAACAGTTCACAAACAACTCGCGGTACGTGGAAAGGGCATTAACAGTTCCCCAGCAGGTCGCGACAACATCATGTGGACCTCTTCAAAATACATTCATTCAAACAAAAATCAGATAAAAAAAATTCCTTGTGCTTTTTTTGGACAGACTGCTACACACAGAGGTATGATCAAAAGGAAGCCACTGCTACTGCGAACTAGTCGGTCAACCGAATTAGCGCAAGTTGTGCTACATATCGGCAGTTTTCAAATATTTAGATCGTCCAAACTCCTCATTGCCGCTAACAAACTGCGCTTCTTGTCTGCACGTAACGGCCCGCACCCACATTATGTAAAATAATCTTATCCCCATCCTTGTACTAGGTAGTCGCTAGCCCACGCCACGTGTAGTCGCTATAAACGCGACCTATGAAGAAATAGATCTATAGTATAGAACTTACAGCTTATACCAAAGAAGCTATGAATGTCAGCCGCTAGTGCCATCCATGAAGCAGATGTTACATCATATCAGAGCAACAGCACATAGCTCAAGTATCAAAGTGACAATTACGGCGATCAGATCACTATACCTGGTATATTGCAGTTACGTAATACGGGATTTTTCTATATACACTACTTTAAAACCTATGTAGAATAATAACAACACAGGTGTGGAGATTTAGGCCAAAAACACTGCGACTTGCCAACGAATCGACTGGAGCTTAGCCATTTCTATTTCTTACCCATGGTATCAGGTAGGGTGGTAGCGCAACGCGTCTTGTCAACTGGTCCGCGTGTAATGGGCTCAGATCAATTTTCAATCGCATCTGATATTCATCAGTGGATTCTCAGCTTTAGAGTATACTCCACAAAACTATAAGCATCTTACTGTACACATCACCAGCTTGAATGATGGAAGATTGTCACCTAGACCATCCACGATCTATGTGAAATTAATCAATACTCAATAACCAACACACACTAAAAGGAACGGAACAAAACGATATTCAGACGTTTGTTATTGAAAAAGTTGCAGTGTCAACATTCATCGATTATAAATTATTTTCCAGAATGAGAAATGTACAAGTAAATTGTGATTATTCATTTTTTAGAGCTTCGGGCGCAATATTTTCCTCCCTGGGTTTCGCGCCGCCGAATATAGTCAAGTTTTGTGTCGAGTCCGCTAGAGCGTTTATTGGATCTTTAACGGTCCTTGGCAGGAGTTTAAGCCTTGGCCTGCCTGTTGTATCTGAAAGGGAATCATTGGTTAATGACAGCGACTAATTAAGAAATAGCAATAAGATTTATTGAGGGCAAAATTCAGCCAAAGGTTACTTTCACATTTAACATGTTCAAGCAAAAAAGTAAAAGTATCTACCAGTGCTGTTTGATGACATTTTATCCAGCTTGCGCATGTGAGTCCTAGATTATCCACTAGTAAGCTACAATTTACCTACCTTGTCACAAAGTCCATGCATCATGCTAAAAATATAACAAAAATATTTTCAGGATTCTGAACACCGTATCACAGTCATCAGCCGTCAGATTGGCCAATGTCTCTACTGCTGTGTTCAGACATGGTCATACAGTGGAGACATGCTCTCTAAAGGCTGCTACACACAGTGCCGGCGGCGGGGCCGCCGGGCAAGCCGCCGGCTAAGCCTCCGTACACCCGGTGGCATACAAAGCCGCCGGCCTTGCCGCGCAAAGGAGCCGCCGGGGTGTGCCGGCGGATTACGCGGCTTGCCGGCGTCACTTCGTTCCTGGTATTCGAGCGGTAGTGTTGTGCGGTTTGTGTGTTTAAACAAATTAAAATGCGTTTAATGGGACGACGAAGCTGTGCTGCTCTTAATTGAAAAATTTCATGAAAATGATATATTATGTAATCCCAGAAATGCAGACTATAAGAATAGGAACAATCGACGCATTGAACATAATTGCAAGTGTATTTGACATTGATAAAGGCGAAGTAGAGAGAAAGTTAAAGAATGTAACCTCTCATTATTTTCGGGAAAAAAGAAGTTCGAACAGTTGCACAAATCTGGTGCAGGCATAGACGATGTACAGAAACCCAAAAAACATGCTATTGCGCAAACGCTGACACCCCACATCATCTTTTTTATACTCTTCTATCATTACAGTACCGTTTCGCCATTTTCTATTTTGTAAACTTGGGTGCAACCAAAACCTTCTCGTCCTTTTGTATTCTTTTCTTGTTAAAATAAAAATTACAACTGCGGCGGCTGTGCTGATTATTTACTTATTCATTTTAACTAACCAACCATAAAATATGCACTTCACTAGCGTTCTATGTGACTGTCACAACCGGAATGATGCTTGGCGGCTTATGCCGGCGGCTTGTATTGCCGCCGGCTTGTGTGTAGTAGCTTTTAAAGTGCAGTCCCGTGCCACGACAGTGATAGGACACAGCGATACGAAACGGCGACCGAGACTAAGTTGTTAACTCCAGGGTTTGCTACGCACACTGTTTTATGTCAGTCTCGTGGGTAGACTCGCATATAAAAAGCACTAGGCAAATATGGTCTCTCAACGCCTGTAAATGTTTTCTCACCGGATTCAAACCGGGATCCTGCCGGTGCAGTTTTTGAGAAACTTATAAGGCGGGTCTGCCCACCATATTGTTGATCACCTTTAGACACAATTTTGATGTTGCCCAGCGGGAATCAAATTTAGCGCGTATGCAACTATGGTACAAATTGGGTCAATGAGTAGCGAAGTAATGGGATCTTATGAATTTGGTTGATTTCATTCACGATGTCTCTCAAACTACCGATGATTTGATTTGTGTCAGATGGGTCCCTAATTCCCATATAAAAAAATGCTTCTTAAATTTAGCTATCAAAACCTTTTTTTTTTCATTTGTGGCCGGAAATAAAAGTTGACCCAAATTCCAAAAATCCAAAAGTACTTGTGGCCTATTCGAAACATGGATCAAACCTGATACAATAGATTGACAAGACGCCATTATTGATTTTTTTATTGAAAATAGCAGCGTCTCACTGTTGCTGTACAAAATTATGCTTAATAAATTATTTCAAGACAAAATTGTAGAATGTTTATTATTTAACAAATATCGAGTAAATAATGAATTTACTTACTGTTAGCAGGAACATGTCGCGCACCCTACTGGACGGTAGCACGACTACACGACCACGCTGCGTCGCGGTAACGGTGGCAAAGCTAAAAGTAGTTGTGATACTGCCCAGTAGATAGCGCGAGATGCTTCTTAAAGAATAAGAATTCTGTAATTTTATGTCCTTAAGAAATAGAGATTAAGCTGAATTTTGCACTGCAAGAGTGAGACACTGTTATTTTCATATCAATAGATAGATATTGTATCAGATTTGTGTCAATGCATCGCTCAAATGCTTTGGTGCATTGTATCATGGCCGCCAATGAAAAAAGTGTTTGTTCTTGATTTAATATAGGGAGGAGGCAGGAGGGACCCATCTTGCACAAATCGTATAATTTATATCTAATTTGAGACATTTTGCAAGTCGCATTCTCATTGGTTGAATTTGTGATCAAAGACCTTTTTAGTAAAATGGGGCCTTAGTGTTGCGTCCTTCGAGTCATAAAAACGGTAACGCTTGGGACCACTTCACATTCATATGTGACAATTTAAAAGTTTGACTGGCAGTATTTTTATTAAATCTTTCACGTGCAAAGGAGCGGATATGAACATTGAAACAAACAAAAATTGTTAATCTACGGTGATATGCCAAATAAGCCAATTTTTGAAATCGGGGAAGTAGAATAGAAAGCGAGCGTGGTTTCAACACCTTTTGAAAAAAATGTATTCTTCAACGTTTCCATCATAGAAAAGCCGTTCCTCGAGTCATTCTATTGATAAATAACCGCAGAAAATGTGCGTGCGCGTGTGTTTTGAGTAGCAGGTGCGTTACAGAATGACTTGGGTAGCGTGCAATTTCTCCTATGCACATGGTACCGGTACACAGTCTGTTTACTTATTTCGTAAGACATTGTTACGTAACGGCGACAAACGGACAAAAGAACAATACGAGTATATTAAAAATGTACTACTTACAGCATGCACCAAGGTTCTACTCGTATGTTCTTCCAGAACAAGCATCATTCTTTAGGATGAATTTCATTCGATTATCTAAGAAACCTTATAATATTTTCCATTTAAATTTTTATTCCAATGGGATTTGGTTTGCATAGAATCAATTGATGGATGTCATGGTGGGTTAGTTTTTTGTACATTTTATTGTAATTTTATGTAACCTTTAAATCACGCCTTAACAGTAAATGTAAAAGCACAATCATAATTTCACCTTAATCATCAACAACAAAACCTGATTTCTTATGATTCAACTTATACACACAGAAAAATCAAAACAACGTTTGTAATTAAAAAAGGTGCAGTTTTATCGGCGTTACATTCTGCAAAAAATAATTGCTATCCAGGATAACTTAAAGAATATACAAGTGGATTGTGATATTATTCGTTATTTTTCTGGCCGTCATGGCCAATATTTTCTTCTCTCGGTTTTGCACCACCAAATATCGCTAAATTCTGGGTGGATTCTGCCAGTGTGTTAATTGGATCTTTAACGGTCCGTGGCAAGAGGTTTAGTTTCGGCCTACGAGAGGTATCTGAAAGCAATTTCTTATAAATCAAACATACCAATATAATTTTGATCCCCATCACCAAACGGCCCTTATTTTGGAACAGAACATAAGTGCACCCTCAAAGATGCATGGTAGGCATCTATTCGAAAATATTTTTAGCAATATAGATATGAGCCTGTGATTTTCGACGGTATAAAGTTCAACGGAATTGATAGGAAGTCTATTTTATTATCCCGATTAAAAATGCGTACCGAGATCTTCCTTTACCTTATTGCAGAAAACTTTTGTCAAAGTTCCAATCATTGAAATCTCAGGCTCATTGGTTTCGTGATTGCATACTTTTTCATCCAAAACTTATTACAGAAGCTGAAAATTTTTATCTGTGAACATTATGAGCAGGCAGAATGCATCATACAGGGTGGCCAATATATAACTGAATGCCATTTTTGATACACGTATTTCAGTAGGTGGCGCCTTGGTAGTTGTTTAAAGCAGAAGTGTCCAATTCATCATGGAGCGCTACACGATCCCACAACGCGTACGTTTTGTCAAAACGTTTTACTTAAATAATGAGTCGATTGTCGCAACGATTTGGAAGCTACGACAAGATTTCGGTCGAAATAATGTGCCCAATGACATCACCATACGTCAGTTTGAACAAACAGGTGACGTTAAAGACCTGCCAAGGTCGGGCCGTGTTCGAACTGTTCGTACTCCAGAAAATGTCGAGAGAGTTCGTGAAAGTGTAGTGGAGCGCCCTGAGACGTCTACCAGACATCGTTCTCAAGAACCGGGTATTCGTCGTACGTCATTATGCACTATTTATCTGCGGCCATACAAAATTCAATTAACCCATGAATTACAGCACTACAGCCTATTCGCCGACAATACAGTCCTGCAATATTGCAGCTTAATACCCAAAATAACTGATAATAAGCAATGAAGCCCACTTCGATATGAACGGATTCATTAATAAGCAGAATTGTCGTATCTGAGCATTAGAGAACCCTTGTCTCATCCATCATCGACCACTACATCCTCGTCGAGTCACAGTTTGGTGTGCTGTTCGGTATGGCGGTGTCATTGGACCTTACTTCTTTGAAAACGCTGCAGGTAATTATCTTACTATCCCTGGCGAGCGCTACCGTGATATGGTTCAAAACCTTCTGGCTCAAATCCAACAATTTAACCTGCAAAACATGTGATTCCAGCAGGATGGAGAAACTTTTCTTGATTTGGTAATGTCAACTGGCCACCAAGGTCACCGGATTTAACGGCTACTTTTTTATAGGGATTTTTTAAAAATATGGTTTATGCCAACAAATGAAATACTGTACAGCAGCTGAAGAACAATATTACGAAAGCAATCGAAAATATTTCTCCCGAGACCTGCCAAAAAGTGATGGAAAATGTAATCAAGAGGGCTCAGGTTTGCGCGGCTTCTAGAGGCGGACATTTGTCTGATATTATTTTTCATACATAATTTCTAAGTTTCAATAAAAGATTAAGCTAGAAAAAATGGACGTATTTTATTTCATTTCTCAAATATTCAAGTTACAAACCAGTCAGTTATATATCGGCCAGCCTGTAAAAAGTAATGAGGGAAAACATAATAATGCAAAATTCCTGGCTAAGCTTTTCCACGTATACAATAAACTGTATAATGTGGTAGTAATGCACATTCATTCAATAAGCTGTCGAGAACTATACAAGTATTAGTCAAAACCTTGAACCGCTGTCAAGTTTACCATTACACACAGTGCTAGAAGCAGTTTTGATTCAAGCTCCAAAACTCAAACAAAAACATTCCTAGTTTTTTGGCTAGCCATTATCTATGCATTTTCGCGACTAATAGGTGAGATCAGTTGAGCATGCAAAATATAAGGACAGTATTTTAACTTGTTAACTGAGAATAGATCGAACACTAATAATTGAATGCATTATTCTATCCATTTGTTGTTGAGGGTTACTCAAGTCAACCGAGATATATCAAAGATTGTCTCCTTTTCAAACTTCTGATTAAAATACTTTTAGTTTACGTTAGAAAACTAAGTTATATGAAATCAGTTGATATCAAAAGTGTGACTTCAGTAACAAACTGTAGACAGTAGGGTTTCCAATCCGGGATGCCGAGATCCCGGGATCCCGGTTGGTTTTTTGTCTCGAAATTCCCGGAATTGAGATATACCACTCAAAATGCGTAATTGCTCATTGCTTAGCTTCAAGATCATATTTATTGTATTCTAGAAGTACAGAAAATAAAGCATATAGCGTCTGTAATGACGATGATGACATTGGTATCTTTAAGATATTCTATTTTACTAAGCAAAACGTAAGTGTTTAATAAGAATTGGTTTTTGGTTTTTTAAATAGATTTAAGGGTACCTTGTTACCTTATTTTTTTACTTACATAAAATATGTAAATACAGAAAAACATCTTTGATTTTTGTGTTTTTTAAGATTTTTCTCCATTAAAAAAATATTAGGATTGATACCGGTATGCCGGGATTTGTTTTTTTTTTATCCCGGGATTTCAAAACCGGATTCCGATCCCAAAAATTGTAAACCCTAGTTGACAGTCATGTTCACACCTGACAAGTGTTGGTATGACTGATTGCCAAATACTCTGCTTATCACGGTAAGGAAAGTAGTTGCTGTTTGCCTGGTTGCCAGTTCTATGCTTCTACATATAGGGGTACGATACCAGCATTTCAGCGACAGCTGTTATTGTACAGGGACAAAATATTAATTTTATTGGTCAAACCATTCGACACTATGTACTTTTTGTTTCCTGTCTTAAACGATTTTAGCACAAATGAATGGAAGAGGTAAGTAAACTCGTCAAAATATTGTGGCGAGTAGTAAGGTGAGGAGGTTCTTATGGTACTGCTCGCAATGAGATTTCATGTGCGGGTCTACATCTTGTGAAATCCAGTATTGTTAACAAGTGGTGTGCTGTTTCAACAGGATAATGCTCCTCTATATATCCTGGATTTCTATAGCTGCTCCCTACCAAGGAGACTTGGAGTTGGTAGATTACCCACCGCTTTCATCAGTACGATAGCCCAGCAATTATATATTTCCAAAATTAAAGCAAGATTTATGAAAAAAGATATGTCCAAATAAGAAGCAGGTGATATCTGTGGTATAGGCAAAGAGTAGTTATACCCAGACAAGACGTGGAATGTCTTTATAATCGGCCGATCGGTACCACTAACTTTGGGTTTTCCCTACGTTACAGATTTACGATCACAGAAGGCTCGGCATCTCCCAAGGAAGTGCTCTTGTTTTGGCGATTTGCTCATAGATAGCTCGGCTTCTACCGAGGCAATATTGCGAAACTGACAGAAAATGGTAAACGGAAACTGGTACATTTATACTGAGCTGAATGAAGTAGGTGTTTTCACGGTTTTTATATTAATTATAAAATCTTAATTGGCGTGAATTCTGCAGGGATTATTTTCGATCCTTAAGAATTTCAACAGTAGCTAGTAGTAACATTTATGTATTATCAATATTTATATATAAAAATAATTGAACCTCTTCAATAACAAACGACTGGAACTAAAGATCTGTTGATACCCACTCAACAATCATACTGCAGCATATCAGAAATCTTTGAGTTAAATGGGTTGTATTATTATTACATATATTATTCAACAATCTAAAACATTATATTTAAAAAGCAGCTTCAAAAGTCAGTTAAAATAATTTCTAACACCTAAGTGTTTTTATAGCTTGGAAGTGTTCTTTGCATGAGAAACTGGTTTTCAATCTGTATTGTAATGTTTTTGACTTTTGATTTGTTATAGTTTGTGGCTATCTAACAATGAAATAAATGTATTATTATTATTCATTGTCAGCACTCACTTTTTGAAAATAATCCAAAAAAAATTAACATTGCATACATTGCTATGTTTTATAATGGAGATCAACAAGAGGTAAACTCAAATCGTAACAAGCATAAATGACTTATACGTTGATGAGGAAATATTTAAGGTGATGAGATAAAACTAAAAATGTCTGTGAGCTCATAAAAACAGACATCCTCATAAAGACCGTACATGTATTTTTGAGGAAGATGGATGCATAAAAGTAATATCATTAGTTTTACCGCCCAACTGTGACCCGCCAAAAACCGTGAAAAGGCATATTAACAGTGGTCTTATTGTTGCATATTCCCTACATTCCATTTCCAAAATACGATGCACACAATTTGTTAATATTTGCCTCATCTAATACTCATTGAATGCGGCATACATTTTGTAGACTGCAAATGGATAATAAATATCATGATATAAATTTAAATAAAAACGCTTAATCCTTCGCTATAATAGACATGAATCCATTTAAAAGGGTTTTACTATATGGCAACACCGCATTTATCTCTGACCAAATAAGAACAACACGAATGTAGACGCCATCAGCTGTTTTGTGAACGCCATGTTCTTTGTTTCTTCTCTCGCTCTCTAATTTACTAGCCTTGTCTAACTATCTTCTCTTGGTATAACTACCCTTTTGTAAAGGAGTGTTTTGCTACAATCGTGCAAATTGTTTACCAGGACGCTATTGAAATGCTGAAGCACCGGTTAACAAGATCATTGATGTAACAACGGTTTTTGGCCAAAACATAAGATCTGGTCCAGTTGGTCAATAACTGGTCTGTCAAACATAACCACATCAGGGAATCTCAACATGATGCCAGTACTGCTATTCTATAAATTTTGTTAAAACGATATCAATCAAAGTTTACGCAAGTCTACAGGTAATTGTGCCATCTTAAATTTAAGTACTTTTTTTCTTTATAGTCTATAGTATATCAATAATTGTGTATATGCCGTTAGGTCGAGTTAAAAAAACAGCGTGAGCTGACACTCCACCTTTTCGTCACTTTCTTTAATTTCTATTAACTCTATTATTTTATAATGCTGTGATGAATAAAGGTCATTTACTATTATTATAATATGGACTATTTATTGCCTTTCTCTAGCTGCAAGAATACTTCTTCATTTATGTTGATATCACTGAATCATATCAATTCTAAATACTCCCATTTTATACTTTATTTTGCAACAAAATAAATATATGGTAGATGGCGGTCATGCCGTTCGAAATTTTGTGGTCTATTAGCCCCCTCCCCACCCGTTCCTCAATCACTACCAATTTGTTCTGTGCCTAAGACAGTAAACTTTCACTGAAGTTCCATATACCTCGCTGTGTACGAGATTTTCTGCAGAATGTACGATACGTTTGGCATCTCTGGTACGAAAAAAAGATAGCATCTGGCAGTCCTGATTCTACTCTGCTACTCATTCAGTCATGCATTTTGAAACCATAAAACTACTACAGCTACATTTTCATGCTCATGTACCTGGTTCGGGATTCGGAAGATCATCAATGACGGCTTTTCTGTCGGGTCGCGGCCTGCTGCCGCTGAATCCGCCGCCGCCTGCGCCAACCCCCATCCCGGGAGTCCCCCGACCACGCATTCCCCATTCACCGCTGCCACCACCTGGGCCTCCTCGGTGGGGGCCATCGTCACCTGCAAACGAAGATCCCACGTGAATACGGAAGAAATACCAGAAAATCTAGTCGCTAGAATCTATTTTAAAGAAAAATTCGACAAAATGGAGTCTGACCTTGGTTCAGCTGATCACCATTCAGCCATCTTTAACCTCTAGCAGCCTGTAGGTTTCAACAATAAGATCAACTGTGTTTAACTGACCATATGAGCTGCATGCTGAAAATATTGTTTGAAATTTGCCTTTCAACTTGGATTCAGTTTAAAATTAAACATTGTGTACAATGTTTGTTTTTACTTTAGTTTCAGAAACCTTTAAACCGCCATCCACATTTAAAAGTATGTCTGAACTTATAGACAAAAAATTGAATAACTGGCATGTGAAGATATTTGAAGTACTGCATCTCCTTTTTTTGATTGTCACCACTTAACCTTTCATCTGGTTATACTTGGAGAAACCACCACCTAGCAGTAGACCCAATTGCACAAATTTTAAATCAATTTTTGCAGTTGTAACATGTCACATATGTACAACACTTTTGCTTTGTGATACCTCTGTACAGTTTAGATAGTTTTGTATTATAGTTGGAACTTGGTGTTCTGGGTGATCACCAGCCATCAAGTGGCAGCCAAGCAGTCACATTGGCGTAGACTACATTGTAGCTTAAATTGTTCATCTTTGGTTTATGACATTTATGGAAGAAATCAGGATCACTCATCATAGAAATTTATAACCGGCCACTAGCAACTCGGCTAATGGTGGCTGGACTCCTAGAAACACATTGGTGGAATTTTGCTCAGAACAATTTCATACATTTGCAGTAGAGTGTATGAATTTTTATTATGATACTACTGGTACTAAATAATTTGGCCAAGAAGTTTGAGACACCTGTATGTCACTTTTACCTGTAAAATTACCATAGTTTCCTCGGTGTCCGCCTCTATCGCGATCTCCGAAATTGTTCCTAGGAGGGCCTCTTCTATCAAAGTCGTCATTCCCCCCATACCTGTCACCGCCTTGTCTAAAACCACCGCTTCGGTTTCCGCCCCTCCCACCTCTGCCACCTCTGTCAAAACCTCCTCCTCTATCGCTACGTTTTTCTGAAAAAAAAAATATGTTTAATCTGCAGATTTATTATATGATCTTAAATGAAGAGATAAGTTTTTAGGAATCATTTTTATTGTACATACCTGAAGAAATATGTAGAGGACTCCAAAAATATTGATTTTTGTGTGGTTGACAAGTATTTGAATTAAATCGTTCAATTTTAGACAAAAAGAGAAATCAATGGTTAGTAAATGATTAAATAAGCTTTTCAAAAGTCCCTTACAAATGTCCCTTCAAAATATTATTTTAAAGATACATACTATAAAAATTCGAATGAGAATTGTTAAAAGTTATGCTGTGTGCTGTTTTGTTACTTTCTCCAATATTATTATCTTATGACCATTTCTTCCACATAAAAAATACGTTTTAGGCCATTACAGTGGTGTTACTCCTTAAGGCATCACTTCATGTTATGAATGTGGTTAGACTTTTACTCTAATAAAAAACGTTTTTATTAACAAATACATTATCAAGGTTGTCTATAAAATCTACCATGCAGTTCAAGTCAGAGAACTTGTAACTTAGAAGCTCTGTGTCAGCTACACCTGTATTGCTTTATCAATTATTATCAGAAAATAATATATACCTTCGGCGACATCAACTTTTATAGTGTTTCCATCAACAATCACCTCTCCATTCATCTCCAAGGCCTTTTCAAGATCCTCAAGAGTTTCAAACTCAACATATCCAAAGCCCTTGAACTTATCAGTATCCTTATCCATAACAAGTCTTACATTCTTCACATTTAAAGTGGAAAATATTATGTTACTGACGTCTCCTTGCACAGTTCGGCTGGGGAGATTTCCAACATATGCTTTGAATGGTGGTTCAGATGGCAGTGGCTTTCGTCCGCCTCCTCTTCTACCGCCTCCATAGTCCCTGAGAAGCAGTAAAAAAATAGCGTCAATTAGATTTGCGCAGGACTTCCCATGCACTATTTAGGAATAACAGATATACATCTCCAGTGGACTAAAAGATGTACTAAAATGGATTTAACTAACAAGAGTTTTAAAATATTGTATCTCAATTTTTCCATTAAGCTCTATAGTTGTTATTATTGAAAAATGACAAGCAATGAAGTTGTAGTTGGAATTTTTATTTATTGCTAACTTTCAAAAACCTACAAAGCTTGAAAAGCTTATCAAAATTTCATCAAAACTTATAAAGGTCTCAAAGATTACAGGAGATATAAACAGCAAAAACAATGGCGTTGCCACCACTATGGTAAATAGCATCCAGCTTTTGAAAATCAATAATAATCATATAAACAAAAATAAATACTACTTTGTGTTCTAACATGATCTACACCCCAAATAACACTAACATAATAATAATGGAACTGAAGAAACAGTGGGCGTAACAACTGTAAACTCATTCATTAACAAACTGGAAGCTGATGTATTAGAAGAACTAGATGACCTTGAACAAAAAACAACAAACCCCAAGAGAGCATATGTCACAATATTTTCAAAACATTAATGACAGGTTTTTTCACAATTTTCATGTAAACATTAGAAGCATTAGGAAACATTTTTGACAATTTTCTAGTAACACTGCAATCATTTGAATTGAACTACTCTGATACTCTTGTTTTGGGTGATTGCTTTCATCTAGAACAATAAGCAGTTTAACATTCCAGGATTTTCCAGATATTATTTACATTTAATATAAATTATGGTATATGAATATATACAAAGCAACATCTTCATGTCCATATAGATAACTATCATTTATCAAAATCCTTAGTGACATTAAGTAGAATAACATTCCAATTAGAGAATATACCATTAGAGCTAACTTGCAGACCCCCTTCTACTAATACATCTGTTTATTGAAGATGTGAATGAATACTTTAATACACTTGAAAAACAATTAGAAATCTTTGTGGTGGCATGGATATAAATCTATTTTGAATCAATTTGATTTTCAACCATTTATTATTTCACCAGGGTTACTCCCACGTCTTCTATATGCATTTATGATATATTTATAAGAAAATTAAGATGTAATCAAATGAGTTTCTTTTGTATTGAATTCCGGTTTGACAGATCACTATCTAATAATTTATTTTTATTATTATCCAATCAAAAACACTCAAAAACATTAAACAACTGAAAATAGATAAAGCTGATCATTCTAAACTGAAAGAACTGTTACAAATTAAAAACTGGTTGGCTGTTAAAAATTCTAGTAACTCAGAGGAGACAACCTATGAGTTCTCTATGATCTTAGCAATATATGGATACAAAAACAACAAAGGTAATTGGAATAACTGAAAAAAAAACATGTATAAATAATGGCAGAATGTGTTCAATAAGACATAGGGAAAAACTTAAAAAAGTGTACTACACTGTCATGGTGAGGAACTGGGAAGGATTTAGGGCTTATCAAAATCATTTGAATAAATTAATTATTAAATGTAGGCACAACTACGAGTACTATAAGGAAAAGATTCTTAATAATGGAAATGGTATCAAACATCTATAAAAAATCATATCTGATGCGACTAATGAGAACAGATCCAAAAATAATAGCAATATACAACTCTTAAGTAATGACTGCAAATTTGATAGTGATAGACAATTTTACTAATAATTTTTTTAATGGCGAAAAAATGATGAAAATTAGAACATCACTAATCCAACACTTGACTCCACCATCAGATCATCAATGTTCTTATATCCTCTATCTGTATGACTTGTCATATTAGAACTATAAAAAATAATTTGAACTTGATGGAATACCTTGAAAAGTTATAAAAGCATATCACATTGGGTGGATACGATAATCCAAAAATATTCTCACCTTCTGCAAAAAAGACCTCACCAGCTTTTATGCATGTCTTGCTTTGATGTGCTATTACGGAAAAAGATCAGCATATCAGACGAATCCAGAGAATAATGGGTATGGATATAGAAGATGGCATAAGCACAGTTGAACAAGATTTCGACAAACAGCTTAGGAACAACAACAAACCATTGACTTGATGAGATACCAAATAGCTTGCCTTTTGGGAGAAAACACAATTAGGTAAAGAGATATTCCGCTGCAAATCAGAATACCATAAGTTAAGGAATAAACTTCAAGAGGCTACCTCGCTAAAAAGTCAGCTTTTATCCTCGACAGAGGCGATGCGTATGCGGCCGACATTAAACGTCTAAATGATTCTAAAACGATTTATTCCAGTTAAAAAATGAGCACAATGATGAAAACAGATCCGAAGTACCATCAGTTGCTAATCTTAAGAATCAAATGTTGGATGAGGTCAGAAAGCTGTTTGAAGATGGAGGTCGACTAACTAAAATTACAAATGAAACATCCTACTAAAAAACATAGATCCCGCTAGTAGTTCTGAAAGCAGAACAAAAATGAAGCTCATGGTTCTAAAAAAACCTGTTCCAGCTGAGGCAGCTAAGAAGGTGATGCCAGAGCCAAATTTAGTCCAGCCTTGCAACCAAGGTACTCATAGAAAAGAAGCAGCCAGAATGAAATCTACATCTCCTGTCACTGAGGATGAAGTTGTTGGCCGCAAAGTTGACTCAAGTTGCCACATACGATAATTCCTAAGCCTTCAGTCTATGTTGGTAGGTTTGAAACAAGCGCAAATATTTTTGCAGTATGTTCAGAATTGTTTCAATGCTGATAGCTTTTTTGTGCACTAGGTTTTTTTTTGGTGCATGAGAGTGCTTTTGCATGCCCATCATCAGTGGAGATTGCTATTATATTTTTGTTGTTGATGATATTTAAATCTCTAATAGCATCATTAATGTGATATGGAATTCTAGTGTGGGATGGTCTGTACAGCAATGTTTTCAAACAAATGGATATTCTCAACAAAATATCTTGAAAATAATTTATAAAAAAGAAATCATTCATCTTTATTATTTAATGAAGAAGTATTCAAAGTTAGATCCTTATACATTCTTCAATTCTTTTAAATCCGTTAGTGGTTTTTTGAAAAACAAAGCTATGATTCTTTATTAATTTTTCTAAATAACCTCATATATCCAGTTTTTTGATCATTTTACTAGGTGGTCTCATTCATTTCTTCTAGGAACAATTCAGTCATTCAATCTCGCCGACTTTATCCTGATGATAATGGCATAGACCATTGAAAGCTTGAGTTTTGAAGTTAAGGGAGTACACTCTGCAAATTTTTGTCGAGTTCAGAAAGACTTATCACGGATACTTTCTCCTAGGCAGTTACAACAAATAATGTCCATTACATACACACATATATTATATATTTATAATATTCAAAATGAAAGGTTATATGTGAATCATCAATAACACACAAGATGTAGAAGCCATCGACATCTTTTGATGCCAATGAGCCAGAAAAATATTAAACAATGTTATTTGACATATCTTGGCCCTGAAATATATAACACTCTACCCTCAAACATAAGAGACATCAGGACTCAAGATTTTTTTGTAAAGCAATGTAAATTGTACATCTAAGAGGAGAATACACTCAGTTTATAAAATTATTTTATTATTTACATTACTCAAAATTGTAAATATTGTATTTTTATATATATTTACGTTAGAGTTATGTACTATTGAATATTGTTAATATTTACTTAAATAACTCATACATAAAACCCATCTCTTTGAGCACATACAACTATTTAATTAGCTAGGTGCTTTATGATAATGTACTATCGTCACATTACTGCAGAGCTATTCGAAGTCACAATTTTCCCAATTTTGCTTTTATATTCTTTATGGTATATTGAAGATCGTCTCGCGCGCTGGAGAAATATCCCACGTCTACACTAACGGAGAATACCGAAAACGGCCGATTACAGATTTAGTGTCCTACAATTCTATCCCCGTTGAGCAGAATTGTTTTATCTGCAGAAGGGTGCAATTACTGTTTTTGACATGGTATTGTTTTGCTCTAAATGTTATACAACCATTTTTATAAAAACAGTAAATTGTCTTACATTAATGAAATTTGCACTGAATAAGGAACTAAAAGACAAATAGCATGTTTTGGAGATCACCCAGAATGAAGGAAAAAAACTTTAAACAGACAGTGTTCTCAGATTTTTCCACCAAATGTTCTGCCAATAATATAATAATTTGATTTGAGGAGATATTGATTCATACTAATACCATTTGTTTAAAAATTTGTATGCCTTTTTTTTCTCTTCAAAGGAAAAATGCATATATACACACAGGGTAGTGCCCCAGTATAGATATAATGATGCCTTTTTTGTTCTTTAATAGTTGTTAAAATTGAATTGCTGTTATTACCCCTGTAATTTCTGAAACCCAATTTCACCAGTGATTAATCTGTTGCATCTTACAGTCCAAACACAGAATATATATGTCGCTGTAAGAGAAAATAGCAATTATTGTCTAAATAATTAGGATGTAATTGCAATTGACCACAATTAGTTTATTTAGGGATGTTAAGATAAAAGATTCATGAATGAAACCTACCATTAGTCTGCAACAGTAAAAACATGAAGTAACTCACATACAGAATGTTATCAAAATATTTCTATACTTTTTATGTCTAAATAACTCAATTAAAATTTGCCTTGCCTGTTTTTACCAATGCAGGCACTTTTGTATTATCTTAATAATATCTGTTCAAATGCCTGCTGGACTCAAATTTGGATTGTTTTTTTTTTGTCATGTGATTGTACATTACCATGCATAAAGTATTTGAATTTGAATAGTCAAAGTGGCAAGACCATTTTGGAAGGGAGATAAGGAAAGATAGGAGATAGTTAAATTATTAGTCATGCTAAATTTCGCCTAGTTTTGATTGATTCAGTTTATAATGCACGGATTCTGATGCATGCATTACTACTACATGCATGAAAATAAAGTTTCATATAGTTTTGAATAAACTATCTATGCAAATGTGAGTAAGATACGAGTAAATTTGCACTGGTACTACAATGAGAAGTACCGGTAAATAAAATGCTATTAGGTAGCTTGCAAATATAAAATACTCAGATATTTATTGACAGAGATAATACAGGTATAGCAGTTAGTAGATACTACTCTTTCTGAATTAGTCACTAGATATGCTGCGAGAAATTCGTTTTTTCCAGACATATGACAGTATTTACATTCAATCAGATTATAATATGCCCAAAAAATATAAACTAAAACGAGGATATCTGGCATGTGCATCATTATGCAGATATGCAATTTTCGCGCACGTACGGTTCGCCTCACGTATTGTATGATATCATAACGTTTAAAACACCTATATGAGGTATGAAAAAGACATGTTATACGAAATTAACACTCTAGTTCGTGCAAAATTTATGATTTTTTTACCTGTTGTCTCTATCATCATAACCACTACGACCGGCCATGTTTTAGAAGTGTCGGACCTGCGCGTTAGCTGATATCCACAAAAAACAGAAACCGAACCAAATGTCACATTTTCTGATACCCTGCAACTGGAAATTTAAAATTTTGCGCTATAATTTGTAAATCACTTCAAATGTTCATAAAATATATCAAACGATTCGATATCTTGAGAATGTAATGTGACAGCAGCAGACTCGAGAAAACTTTGACAATTAGACAAAGAAAATTGCCGGTCGAGAAATCAACAAAATTCAAGAAATATTTCCCGCTTAACTTGACATGGAACACCTGTCAACCAAGCAAATAAAACTAAACGAAGGTAAATAGAGTCTGCTGCCTAAAGCTGGGTATCCACATGCATAGCTTATTGGCGCCAGTCGACTGTCGCCACATTTGTGGCTTGTGGAAACTGGTTAAATTTACTGGCGTCAGTGAACTGCCAGTTTACACTTTGAAAGAGATATTAGAAAAGACTGATAATTCCAAAAGTGGCGAATTTGATACTTTGGCGAAAATCGTGGTAACTCATTTGAGAACTCTGTCTATGGAGGCTGCTCTAGAAAGCCAAGCTGATATATTAAACTATTTAGTTCAGAAAAGATTGGGACGTGAAGTATCATTTGTCTCACTTCTGAGCACACTGCCTGAAGGGCAACACTCTATATTTCCTCCTTACCCTTCACCAAATGACTCGTCGATTTCAACCTCTTCGTATGGGCATGCATATTTAGGCAACTCCGATCAGTCTCCTCAACAGTATAGTAGTACTTCTGAGTCGACAACTACAGATATATTACAGAGCTTGGGAAAATGTCATACTGTATATATTTTTAAACGAATTTTTGTACTTTCTTAATAAACTACCTCAAATAAATGTTCTATAAATATATTACAAACTTACCTTTAAATATTCTTTTGAAGATTCATAAGTTGCTTCTAAGATATTATTTAAAAAATTTTAAATACCGTAAAATCGGACAAAATTTGGAATATTTTCTCAATATTGAATGTTTTAATGTGACTATTACTATTCTGGCTATAAAAACATTGCCAGTGCTATGGAATCAGTCAAAGTATATAACCTACCTATAAATATGTCAGTGAGGTGTGAATAAAAAAAAATAGAAATCGTTGTCCGAAGTTAGGATATATTTTCCCTAATTTCGGACATGGATGTTTTACTGCGAAATTGAATAAAAAAATCGATTTGGACACTTAGGAAACACTGTGCCCAACTTCAAAAGATATATTAATTGTTGTCAGAACTTAGGACATACGGTTTTCAATGTATTTTAGAATGGATCATTCAAAATTTTATTTTTTTCGGACACTTAGGAAAAAATGCACAAAATATAGCTGAAAAAGTGATTCACTCCAAGGAACTAGCTACAAACTACGTAAACAAATAGATAGAAAATTTTATAGAAAAAAACACATCAAGAACTTTAAAAAATCTACAATACTCCTGTCAAGTCTTCCGAAAATCTAAAAATTCCTCTCCGTTCTGTCGGTGTCCCAAGAACAGTGCAAATGTCCTCCTGAATCACGTCGTTAAGGTCCTCGACAAGTGGGTATACAAAAGACTCAGAGTCCTTACGTCGCAGACATCTTATCTGTTGCTTGGACTCATCAGAATTGAGAATTTTGGCGACGAACTTCTTCTCTAATTGGTGTTTTGAATGTTTGTTATACATAAAAGTGCAAACTACAAATTTACCGTTTTCAATAATATTGTTAGAGTGAATAATAGCATCGCCATTTTTTTGATGCTGTAGTGTAGATAAAGGAACGTCCCACTCACTGCCATCATCTTCTTCATCGCGTTCTAAATTCAAGTCGTTTTCCAGATGGTTGTGACTTTCTTTCAAATTAAGTACATCTTCGTTCACATTTTCTTGATGTGTACTTCCATCCTTATTTACTTCTTCGTCCTTATTTTCCATGGCAGTTATAGCCTTGCCAGCTGGAACGTTCAGCTTCTTTCTTTTAAACCGTTTAGGTGCGGTATCGGTAAGTCTGGCATTTTTTAGATGTTCAGTAAAGGTTTCACACCATTTTGAAGAATTTTCTGCGGTCTGATGTTCAGAAGTTGTGGGTAGTCGCTTAAGAACTTGACTAGAGTCTAAAGGAAATATACCACATGCACGGAAACCAGATTTAATATTTTTCTCTTCTGACTCACTAATAGCATACAGCGTCTTTTTAAGCAGCGATGGGAAATATTCTTTTGGAACTGTTCCGCGGTGGCGTTTTTTCCAGCGAGAAGAGTATTTCTCCAAGCTCTTTTCAGCGGACGAAAGTATGAAACGTCCAGAGGTTGGCACAGGTGGGTCGAGTTCGCTGGAAGCAGTACAAACTTGATATTATTTTCTTTGCATTTTGTTATGACGTCCAGAGATATGTGGGAAGCTAGATTATCACCTATTATTATTTTAATTCCATCCTTTTTTCTGAAGTAGGGTAGCGGAATCTTGTGAAATCAGTAACTGAATATAAAAGAATCGCACCAACCACTTGCGCTTCTATTATATAAAGTTCCTGGCGGTCCATTTTTTGTCCAAGTGTCGTGAAGGTTTGTGGCTTTGTAGACGATGTATGCAGGAAGTCTGGATCCGCTGACCGATACTGCGAATATCACTGACGTGCTGGACTTAGAACAATCGATAACTCTTTCTGCGTGTTTTGATCCGTGTCGCACAATGACTTTTTCTTGTCCAGGATCATCGCTCATGTTGGTCTCGTCATAATTCATAATATTCTCCGCTCGAACCCCTTGCAATGTTTCACTTCAATTTTTGAAGAATTCTTCGACGATTTCCTTTGAGATAGCCGCCCTTTGTCGTTTTATATTTTCACTCAGGCGAGAAGATATCAGCCGCTTATGTCGAGCCTTGAAAGATTTTAACCATTTACGACCAGGCTCGTTATTCCGGAATCGTTTTTCAACTACACCTTTCCGATCTAAGAACCCCTTAACAATTTGTTTAACATCGGTGCCTGTCAGTGGATAACCCCAATTGGCTGCGGTTAAAAAACAATTAACTAAATGCTTCTCATCGTTATAGTTGATAAAACTTGTGGTCTTCCATTTTTTGGAAATGTGCTTTCCCTGATATTTATCGGAAAGTGTTGATTTTGGTATATTATGTCGCTCTGCAGCAGTTCTCAAGCTCAATGTGCCATTTGCGACCTTCAATAACGCTTTTTCTAACGCAGCCTCTTCATAGTTCGTATATTTCCCTCGCTTTCTTTGACTTGTTGGAGCCATGGTCTACCTGATAACAGAGAAAATTATAAAAATACCGACCAGAATTAAAGGTAAAGATTCCCAGACTATGAAGCACACATTTTGAGGTTATGTCACAAACATCTATTTGCATCAAATTGTGCTTGCTTTTGAGTTATATCATGTTTTATCAGCCTGAAATTTCCTACAATTTAAAAGGAAAACATATATTCACAATAGGAGAACGCTGATGCTGACACGGGACAAGTGTAATCTAGAAATTTTTGAAGGAGAGAAAGGGGTATGACAATCAAGGAGGCCATAAACGCGCCCTACAATTGTAGTTTTCTACTTCTCCGTGTCAGCGCTCTATTTTGAGGTTATGTCACAAACATCTATTTGCATCAAATTGTGCTTGCTTTTGAGTTATATCATGTTTTATCGGCATGAAATTTCCTACGATTTAAAAAGAAAACATATCTTCACAATAGGAGAGCGCTGACGCTGACACGGGACAAGTGTAATCTAGAAATTTTTGAAGGAGAGAAAGCAGTATGACAATCAAGGAGGCCATAAACGCGCCCTACGGGCCTAAGCCAACGACACAACGCACGAATTTTTTGTTGAGGTTATTGTCCAAAGATGGCGCAATTGGTTTAAAAAGTTTATGACGATTTGTTCGAAGTTAGGGCTACCATCCGAAGTTATGGCATTTTACGGTACTGCTTTTCGGAACGCGATAGGTATATCTTGAAGTGATCTGTATGAGTATCTGTTTTTTGGATGTTATTAGATATTCGGTTTATCAAGTAATCAAATCATTGATGGGCGCATTATATACATCATGTATGATGCACCATTGTATACGCGTATACAATGGTGAATATATATACGTCTCGATATTCACGCATACAATGTATACATAGCAATTCATACTTCAACTACTTGCAAACAGTGCTGGCGAGAGTTCCTTTCCTTTTTAGATGTTTATGTGTACGAGAAAGAGAGACGAGGGAGAAACCGGCACCACTTGCGTAGATCGAGTGCGTCAGACACCACATTGCCTGGCACAAGAGTGATGAAAGCCACATAACGCGACTGTAACTTGTTGCAATGCCTTGTTTTCTACGCCCAAATACATATTACACATTTCTGTTGAATTTGTTTAGGATCAATTCCGGATCGATCCTCATGGTTCTCCGCTTTTAGGTGGAACTGAAACTTCAAGATCACTACAAATTCTATTGGTTTGTCTGTGAAAACAGTTTATAAATAATTAGAAAGTGTATAAATATATAATATTTATTTATATACGTATACAAAGATACAATTTTAAATAAATTAGGAACATTTTTTAAGTAAAATAAAACAAAGTACTTTCTGGAAACAAAATCATCGCTGAATGAAGTCAGTCAAATTAACTCACCTGCGTGATTTCAATCGAAATATAGCAGAATTTGCCTTTTTTGCAGATACTACACCCTACGAAATATGTCTGCATTTTTAAACAAAATTAACCATAGTACATCGATTTCTTTGTTCTTGGGGACTCCCATCAACCATATTTTTTTAAAGTTGGCGGTTCACTGTTCACCAACTCTCTGACGTTTGCGAATAAATCTAACCTCACTTATGATATTCTATACATTGTCCTCATCATTGTATACATTAATCAAATTCAAGCGAATAACCAAAATTTCTGTGTTATGTGCCGCGGTTATAATATGGTTCACGATGACACACGGGTTGATGACGTCAGTTACACGAATCGCTTGAACGCGTTGGTTTTAACCGCGGTTTTGTTGCAAGTTGTTTATTTTATAAAAGCGCGTATATAATCTCTGATTATTTTTATTATTACTTAATAATCGGTGCTTTTTCGTCTACAACTGTATATGGAAAGTTTAAATAAGAAACCTTTCATAATATTCATGGAAGAAATGCTTTTTTCAGATTTTTTTTTAATGATGGAACCATGGCTTTGTAGCTATGATAACTTTCAATTCTCTAAATTTTTCCGCATGTCAAAGAAAACATTTATTGATTCAGCAGAAATGATGAAAAAAGAAATTAGCAAAACCGTATACAGGTGGATATCATCTAGTGAGTTTATATGGCCATATTTTAATATTCTTGTGGTATATGGCTACACAGGATACTTTGTTAAGCATAGGAACTACATTTAAAGTGTCCCCAACAACCGTAATGAGTATAACTAATAAGGTGCTCCACTTTATGGTAAAACAGAAGTCAGCCTGTATCAATTTTCTCAAAAATGAAGCTGAAGTACAATAACAATATCCAAAACCCGGCAAAATTCTAACTTGTCACATTTCAAATAATAACCAGAAATATAAAACTACTATTGAGTTGGGTAAATACCACAATTTTGCGGTGATAACTATGACATATAACAGCTGATTCGTGACGTCACGGATTTATAACCAAACTGATAACTACACTCGCTTGAACGGATTGGTAAATACCAAGCCAAAATGGTAAATACCATTTGCATTTGGTTATCCGCTTGAATTTGATTATTGTGTACGCAATGTATATATTGTATACGCTTTGTATACTTCGAGATGCAGACAATTAATGTATACGCGTAAACGCCTATCACTGAATCAAATTGATCTTGAGTCATTCTGAGGTGATTAAAATAAGCTTCATGATATTCGATAGCTAATTCTTGAATCTAGTGATTGGATGCACCTAGAGCTTTTCTACGTGAAATCCACTTGCGGAACCGGATCTTGTGTTTGCGTTTCTTTTCTGCTAATATTTTCTGCAACTCTACGCACAAAATTTCAACCACAACATTAGTATTTGCGTGAAGTACTTCAGTTGACGCCATTTTTGATACTACGCTAGTAAATCCTTTTGAATGTGGAAACAAATATTGGTACTAGTAATTATGGCGCCACACAGCTGGCGGATTGCTGGCGCCAATAAACTTGCGCGTGGACACCCAGCTTAAGATCGTCAACTAAAGTCCATGCTTTTTTTGTTTGTTGAAGACTTATTATTTAGCATTAATGGTACAGCTATATACGACTTTGTGTAATTATTCGTTTATACATTCTTTGAATCAATTTTATGTAATTTTACATTCATGTCTATTAAAATTACATCACTATGCATTTTGAAGTATTCATAAAGTGATTTTTTAATTTCACCTTGAACATTTTTGATATTGTACAGTGTAAAATCATTATTCCATTTATTAAATTCAAATAGGTTCTTCCTTGTGGATTACAGATTTGCTACTTATGCTACTATTACAATTTTGCAGTGAAAATCTAGGTATAGGTACTTCTAGTTTCATACCTAGTTATGATAAACAATAAAATTTTATTTTGTGAAGTTTTCTGAATGTGACGGCAATAAATGATTTTTTCATTTGAATATGAGAACTAAATAGTAACGGCTCTAATTTACTCCTCTAGCTGTGGCACTCCTACTATATTTTGAACAGTTTACATATTTCCAATGGTTTCTTGACTTCCATTTAGGTACTAAATAATTTTGTAAAATGTTTAATACAGATCCTTTAAAACCATAGTGATGTAATATCATTAACAATGTTTCCCTATCTATAGTCTCAAACGCCCTATTGAATTCTAAAAATACTGATAGAGTACATTCTTTCTCATCTATATTCTCCATTCTTCCACAACCATTTGGTGCTGTTTCTGTAGAATATTTTTTTCCAAGTCCAGCTTGATACTTTGTCAAAATTTTGTTTTCTTCAATGATTCATTCATATATATATATATATATTTATCCCTTCAAAGAGCTTCTTGACATTTAATCAGTCACATATTTGTATGTAGCTCAGAATGTTCATCTTTGATACAGGAGTGGTGGTGGAACACATTACCATGCACTAAACAATGATTCACCAATAATAATTTCTCTATAATTATACTCTATCACTTGGAATCTTTTCTGAAAGATTTTCTCTAACATTTTTATTATAGTCAAGTGCCATGTTGGCCATACAATACATAAGCCTAAAACCATTCCATCAAACAACTCAAATTCAGAATCACTGAGTTTTTCAGATAGTTTGAAGTTGCATTAGAGAAACTCAGGTTCCAATATTTATAGCAGCTATAATAATCACAACACTTTACTAAGCTTAATATTTAATCACATTGCTGTATTAATTACATTAAAAATTATGTGTTACAATAAAAAGCATAAAGTTGTTTCACAACATCATTATTATAACCCTCTAAAACTGGTTTGCCAAGTTTATAACAACAATCCTCAAACAAATATTGCAGTGGCCCCTGATACCATAAATTTTTCACACTACCATTATCCAAGTCTAAGGTGTTCAATTGAAATATACCAAAATGGAAGAATTTTCCATTAGTTTGCACCACTTGCAATGTAATAGGTTCAGGAAGCTTTTTCACTAAATCTCCATATTTTGATCTTGCATAACTTGCCGCTACTGTAAATCCCTTCATTAGAGTTCTTCCAAATATCTGAGTTTCTGTTACTTCTTCTTCAAAAAGATTCTTAACTATCTCACCATCATAATGGACAAATACTGTATGAGGACAGTTTTTTTTGAGACTCGACTTTATAGGATATATATTTTGTAACTTATAAATGTTCTCTTTATTTAATGTAACTGTTGGTTCAAATGGGAAAATGTTTGGTAATTCCAAATTCTCTGTGGGTTCAAGACTAACTGGTGATAAAGGTTTTGCAGAAGCAAGAACAGCATCAGCAGTAAGGGTCAATTGTATCTGATCACTGTTTCTTTGGAATGGCAAGGAAAACCAAAGATCTCTATATAGGTATCGATCCTTTGATAAATCAGGATTCTTACTTTCTAGTAATTGTAGCAATTTTGAAATGATGAGCTTATTCCTTCTTTCTTGTGTAACTCCATATACTCTGGGAAAATTCCATGCAGGGCGTTCTGGGTCCTTCAACTTTGGCAACTTCTTCTGCTCAGCATCAAATAAATGTGAATTCAAAATAATTGTCCTGATATGTTGGTTAACATCTTCTGGCACATCTGAGGCTTCTTGACTACTTGATAATTCTTCTCTCAGTGTATTTGTTAGTACTTGTGCTTGCGGCAATCCTTCAACTAAAACATTGTTGTCTCGAAATGTGAGCAATACTTGGTCATGCCAATCTGGATGTGTAGCATTCAAAGGTTGTGGTTTATCTTTAAAGCCAATGACATCAACTTTCTCAAAAGTTCTTTTCTCTTTCAAAATATCTTCTGGTTTGATAACTTGCAGCCCTGCTCGTATCAAATTTTTTTCAACACCTGTATTCACAGGCTTTCGTTTTCCCTGTACTCTCCAATGTTTTTCGAAATGCCATCCTATGTGTTGTCGGAAAAGAACAGGTGATAAACGCATGGCCCAGCTCTTATTATTACAAAAAGATCAAAAATTAAATTTTACTTTCTGGGGTCTCATAACCTTTTTTGCTTTTTCGATCCTTATCGTTTGATTTTGATCGTTTCACAAAACGTAGAAAGCGGGACGTTGGCAGGTAAGGTTGAAAAAGAGGACGTTATCTTAGGCGAAAGGCGATTGTCCAATCATCTAATGGATGGTGGCTACGGTGAGATCAGCTGATAATTAAGCCTTACCCACAAAACACATGAGACTGGAGAAGTGGGAGCTGTACGTTAAATGATGGCAGATCTTGCGGATGTAGATGTCAGATGGTTGCGCCGCCTCGAGATCTGAAGGAACTATCGAAAGAATGTTGTGAATTCGCCCGGAATAAGGAATGTGCCGGAGATTTCGTTAGTTGGTTCGTTTTGTTCATAATTTGAAATCTGCTGAAAACGATATTTCCGATATTGAGGATATATTTCATGAACATTCACTAGATATTCCCTTCAATAAAGGGTAATATCTCTTTTAGCAGTTTTGTTAAGAACAAGGTTCAGAATAAAATCCAGCACTAATTCTGAAGCTCAAAATATATTTAGTTTAAAAAAATAATCATATGCTGTTGACAATGGTATAAGAATTGCATTACATAAAATACAGATAGATTTATTCCAAAATCATGTTGTGTGTTGCAAAACACAGTTGTTTCACTTCATTGAATTGCTTCTTCGTAATTCTGAAACAATACAAAAAACACTAATGTAATTCATAATTCTTTGTAAACAAGCTAGTCACTTTTGACTAGTTTGCTAGCTAGTCACTTTTGACTAGTTTGCTCAGCTCTATGCCTTTAATTTGTTGGCCTAGATGGGGAGAATTTTGCTTTATAAAGCTTAGGGCTTTATGACTGTGCTCTGCCGATATTACCATGTCTTAATACAAAAAACTTTCGTAATTTATATAACGGTGCCAACTACAGAGAGGCTGAAACCAGACATGTAATTTTAAATAATCTACCAACTACATCATGCCGACTTGTTAAATTCACAGCGTACCTGTAGCACTTTATCGCTTATGATGTAGAGTCTCCTGAACTTCTGCATCTCCCACAACAGTCACAAAATACATCCCACGTATACCAACACAGCTACTGATAGTGTTGCTTTATATTTTATCCCCAAACCCCCAAAACAAACGCCATATTTGATAAAGATAGAGTCGCTGCAAGCATCACGCCACGTGATGCCGGTGTTGCAGGTTGCAGTTTCCTCGATTTTGCCTGCAGAGAATGACCTTGGTGCTGCAAGTTTGCCCATAACCATTAAGACTCAGTGCAGGGGGGTGAAAATCATATTGGCGAATAGGAAACAAAGCAGTGTTGCTGGTGCATAATATGACAACCATGTCGCACCCTCAAAAAATGGCGACTTATTCACAACTGACGTTGTCTGATTGGCCAGATTTAAATTTCCGGCGGGTTTCTTCCTGTGCTCTTTGCAGAGCTTGAGGAAGATCAGAGATGCAGCGGTTACTCATTCTAGGAATGCAATATTTGAAGATCGTACCTGTTTGTATCTCCTCATCACTATTTGAACAGTGGAGCGCTACGAAAAGTTCAACAGCTGCTGTTGTCAACCCCTGAGGTCCTGAGAATTATCAGAAGCTCAGAGATTACTTCTGATCTAACCAAAAGACTCAACTCTGAAGGATATTTGCAGAACATAACATTTGTAAGTTTTTATAGACTCAATAACTAGTAATGATTTGTACTGCTTTTTGTCCAAGTTAGTTTTCATACTTCGTTTTAAATCAGCTATTGTCAGAGCAGTAGGGTTGATATGTAAAGTTTACTGTAATTTTAATGAAATCAAAGCCCAGTATATTGAACAGTAACATGGGTGCCCACAGGGAGCTGTGGTAACAGTTAACTCTTGATGATGATCAGCACATTGAGAAAAATTCCTGTGGATACCCGTGGACAATCATATTATTGTTCTAATAAAAAAGAAACCTGTGAATTGTAGTAACATATCAACAGAATTAAATCTTTTTCTAATTTTTGATTTATGCAGGTGCCAACAAAGGCTGGGGAATGAAAACACCTGGACCATAATGATGTTAATACTGATTTTTTTGTATGAGGTTTATATAACAAATATATATTTAGGTATTTGCAGTAGGTATATGTTTTTCTTCTGAATCTTTCCAGATTAGTAAGTAGATATGAGTGATGTTATAACAGCTTGTGTTATTGACGTTGCTATTTTAACATACAAAAAAAGCATTTATTCGTCAAGATAGCGCAAAATATTAATGCTGATATAAGATCTTCCATATCACACCAAATTTATATATATATATATATATATATATATATATATGTATATAACTTGAGACGTGGTCATTGTCGTCTAGACCAGTTAGGTGAAAAATTAAAGCTTCCGCCTTTTGTTGGGCACTTCGACAAAATTTAAGCAAAGAGGTCTCTTTATACTTTTTTTAATTCTCTCTAGCTTTCAATGGACTTTGCCATCATCATCAGGAGCTGCAATTACAATGATAACAGTAGCAACAAAGGTGTAAAAATGAATTTAAATTGACTCAACTTACAGTAGTATGTGAGGATGTTGCTAATTGTTGTTTACGTATAGGATGAGGGAAACGTCCAGTAACATGGTGAGAGCTGGATAGATTGTACAATAGTCAAACTTATATAAAATATGACAAGAACAAGTTAAAAACAGATTAAAAATTATTTAAAAAATTAGAGCATTACATTGTGAAGCCACTTGATGATTGCACAAATTAGTGGTCATGGAATGATGAGTGACATGAAACCCTTTGACAGAAGGCCGAAGGATGTCAATGTCAGTATTGAAAGATGGAACGAATTGTGGGCGTGTGCCAAAACGTTGCCAAATCACTTCAGATGATGAGATTTTCAGAATTTTATGTTAGAATTTGTTAAACCGACCAGAGGCAGTTGAATAAACTATATTATTATTAATGGGAATTTGAATTAACAATTATTAATAAATTGTGAGGAGAGAATTATTATATTTTGAGTGGAATGAAATTTACTGGTGGAATCGGCCAAAACACAGATTCTAATTATGGTTGTGAAGAGTTGAAATTTGGGGAGATATGTAAGTTCTCCAATTTTTCGCAGTTTAGCAAATATGAGTAAATGACACTCAGTTGTTTAACATCTGTCTTTTTGTTGATACAGTTGTTATTCATGAAAATGTGGGACATTTCCAGGAATAAACGTTTGGAAGGTGTTTTTCTTTATCAAGAACTTTGATACTTGTGTAATTCATAGAATGCCCTGTTGTGTTAACATGAGATGCTAGAGCGCATCTTTCAGGATGAAGCCTAGCATCACTTTTGTGTGATGTAATCATAATCATAAGAGATCTGGAGGTCTGACCTATGTATATTTGGTTGCAGTTGTTGCAATTGATGGAGTAGACTGTGTTGGTTAAGCCAAGCAGTGGGACTTTGTCTTTCATTTTTGAAAAAATGCAGTTTATAGTGAGGACGGATTTGCAAGCAATTCGAAAGTTCAAAGGACTGCACAATCTGATCAGCTTAGGGGTCAGTTCCTTGATGTAGTGCAGGACAGCAAAACCAGGTCTGGAGTCCGGGTTGGTGCTTGTACTGTTAGGATTGATGTTATTATTGGGAATTACATCAGTTCCGTTATTAGGGGTTGTGCGACTATTACCTGCATCACCAGAGTTCGGCAAAATATTGGAAGGTGAACTAAAATGATCTTGTTAATCAGACACTTCGGATAACCATTATTGATGAACAGTTTTGATAGTTTACGTAAATTTGAGGTGTGGAAGGTACCGAAGTACCCAACAAAAGGCGGAAGCTTTAATTTTTCACCTATATGTATATATATAAGTATAGCAATCGCAGATTTATATGTAGAGCTGGCAACGTTTGCGGGATATTAGTGCACAATCTGGCAACCATGTCGCACCGTCAAAAAATGGCTGCTGACAACCATACAAGTCACCGTGTTGCCATTGAATAGCATGGAATTAAACCTCCTTCATTGTATATGTTTTGTGCATAAGACTTTATACCCCTCCCCCTCAGTTGATCGTATGACGTATGATCGTATTGTTCCAGCCCCGTTTTTTGACAGTACTCAGTACTGATATCCACATTTCATTTTTTTTTAACACATTTTAGGTGATATTTTTGATTAGTGTTTTCTAACATTTTTGATTAACCCTTGGAATTTACAATTTTTCAATCCAGTATTTTTTACCAGAATTCTCTTTTGTTTGTGTTCTAAATATCAGCAGCAACAGGTCGCTACCTATGCTGGGAAGCTTGTAGACGTGTTGGTAAGTTTCTTTTCATTGAACGAAAATTGTAATAAAATGCCAAAAAGTGTTATCGGGTTCAAAAATTTGAGTGTTGTATTAACATATTTTGGACACTTTGTATGAATAAAAGTTTATGTTTACATTTGTTTCAGTTAATATGGGAAAGTTAAAAAGACAAAGGAAAAAGCTGCACCATTCATCTGGTAAATCGGTTGAAGCAGTAGTAAAGAATAGTACTGCAGAGAAAACATCTTTAGATTTACCATTAATACCAGTTAATGACAACCTCTTTGCTGGGATAAATATAGATCTAGTGCATTGAAGACCAACATAGATGATGATGCAAAAAGTGTGAAATCCTTGAAATTTGAAAGTAGTGAAGTTAAGCATAAGTCTAAGAAAGAAAAAATTCAACTAAGGAGAGCAATGTTACTCAAGAGGATTGATGCACTGAACCAAATGAAAAAAGAACAGAGATTAAGAGAGAAAAGGAGGAAAATTCCAGTTATAGGGGATACCAATCCACTGTTGGATGCACTTCCTTCCTTAGATTCATTACTAAAGAATAAAGGCAATACCCATTTCAAATCATTAGAAAATAAAAGGAAGAAAAGGGGTATTGAGAAAGTGTCTCGGAGGAAACGGAAACAGATGGAACAATTGCAGACTTTCAAACAAATTATAAACAATAAAACATTTAGTGCAAACCCATTTGAGGCAATATCAAAACATGTGAAAAATGTCATTACACAGGAAAAATCTTTTGTTGAAAAATAATTATTTTTGAATATATAGTTTATGTTGCAGTAATAGTCTCATTTAATTTAGATTTTGTGATTTGTGTAGCAGTATAGCTAGGAAGTGGAGGACTCGAAAAAAACTTGTATAAACCCATTATATTCAGATCATTCATTCACATGGAGTATCAGTATCAACAAGAGCTTGTAAAGTTCTATCCTGGCTAGAAAAGAGAAGTCTCCTAAAATGGAGAATGATTGGAGTTGAAAGTTAGTCCAAATATATCTCAAAAATCGCTTAAATTAGGAGAATATTTAAATGAATGGTTATTGTAATTTGTACCTCTTTCCCATCTCCAAATCATTAGGCGGTGTATTACTGGTTGTCTGGAGGTGGTAGTTGGGCAAGGGAGAGCAAAAAGCTGTCCTTATATCCAAGAAGATCCTAAAAATATAACATGTATAAAAATTGTATTTATATAATAGAAACATTTGTATTAGAAAATTCGACGACCCCATCCTGTAATATTCTTGGTGCATAACTGGTTGCCGAGCGTAAAGCGGGAGAAAACAACTTCCAGTCTGAATCGCGGGTAGCTCTGAAAACAAAACAAAACTTTTTTAGTACATATTGTAATTTTTTCAAAATTGCGTAACGTTTTAGCCTTAAACTCAGGTGATTTTTGGTGTTTTTGTTTCCGGTTTCGCTTCGTTCGTTTGTTGATAGAACTGTAAAACATCGTGATGTAGTGTTGTGTCTTTGTGGCGCGTAGTTGTTTGAGAAGGGACCTGGAGTAAGCAGCCACGCGAAAATAACCTTTACCCGGAGGATCTACTACCACAACTTTTACTACTTCTAGGAGGAGGTAGGATGTTTGATTTAAGTTTTTTACCTATTTCTCCCAAACATGATATTTTTTGACTTATGATCTATTCTCATTTTTTTTTCTTTAAGCTTACCCTACATACAGTAAGTGTAGAAAGTATTCGTACACTTGGATTTCTAAGCGAAAGACTGCAATGTCTCTCTAATTATTGTTGCTAGACATCTGCAAAAAAATAGTCTCTAAAGGAAATAACAACTCACAAAAATCTACCAAGAAGGCGAAAAAAAAGTATTCGTACACATGTGATTTTTCGTCATAAATTGTCAGTCTTGCACATGATACATGAACATCACAACAATTTAGTACTTGGTTGGGTACCCCTTTCTTTTCAAAACACTCTCATACCGTTTTGGCACGGAGTCTATCAGCCTAGACGTCAGTGAAGGGGGTATGCGGTTCCACACGGTCAGTAAAGCAGTTTCAGATCCCCTCTGTTAGAGATCTGCCAATTTTCCCTTATTTTTGTCTCTAGGTAACTCCATAAATGTTCTATGGGGTTCAAGTCCGGTGATTGGGTGGGGTATTTGGCTGCTTGGGGGTGTTGTACAACAGCCACATCTTCGTATTTGTTGCGGTATGTTTTGGGTCGTTGTCTTGCTGAAAGATGTAGTCATTTCCTAAACCCATTTTAATCGCACTTTCTTCCAAATTTTGCTTCAATAGCTCTATATACTTCTTGTGGTCCATGATGCCATCGATGAAAGCTAAATTACCCACCCCAGAAGCACTCATGCAACCCCACACTAAAACAGATCCACCACCGTGTTTTACAGTGGCACACAAATTCTCTGGAGAAAGATCTGTATTTTTCTTGCACCACACTTTTTTGTTACCATCTGAACCAAAAATGTTATATTTACTCTCATCTGAGTAAATAGTCTTTTTTCTGAACTCTGCAGTGTCATTTAGGTGCCCCTTGCAGAAGGCGATACGCTTGGCTCTGTTGACTTTGCTTACCCACGGCTTCTTCTGGGGCGTGCACCCGCGATACCCCTCGCTCCTCAACATGTTGCGCACTGTCGCGATGGACACCTTGGTCCCCCTCTGTGACAGGTCAGCTACAATCTTCGGCGCACTCACTTTTGGGTTCTTTTTGATTGTCCGTACAATCACTCTCTTGTCCTGCTCGCTCAAAACTTTGGGTCGTCCACTCCTGGCCTTGTTTACCAACGTTTTGATTTCACAGTACCGATCAATTACTGTTTGTACAGTCGACCGGGGTTGTCCCACTAACTTTGATATAGCACCTAGCGACTTGAACTGGTTATGGAGCCTTAAAATTAACTTTCGCTCCTCTAAACACGTTTCTTTGCCTTTGGGTCCCATGTTTACAGCACAGAATCTGAAACTGAGCAACCTAGGGAGTAGTATCGTCTACCGAATGATAAGCGAGGTCGCCATGCGTTCGGATAGTGCGGCTGACTAGCGAGTTTTTCGGCATTATTACGACTGTACGAATACTTTTTGTGCGCCCACCAGGCACATTCTTGTGACTTTTTATTATTTTTAGAGTCTATTCTGTTTTGTTTTTGGATTCCATCGATAAAAGTGAATCAAGCAGAATCTAATGTACATATATATTTTCTTTCGGATGTCTAACACCAATAAATTAGGCGGGATATGGTATTTTTCGTTATGGAAACCAGGTGTACGAATACTTTTTACACTCACTGTACCAGAAGTTCAACCTGCAACACCTCTAGTAAATTCTAATGAAGGTGTTTGTTTAGGTTTTTGTATGATACAAGTTTTATTAGAGCATTGGTAACTATATAGAGACATAGATTTTAATGTAATGCAGGTACCTACTTATTATTGAGCTTTTTACTTAGGAGAGCAATGTAGAACAGAACAGATACGACTCGGATAACTTATCCTATATAAGTACCTTCATGAAACGTAGAAGGGTATCTGCATAGCTGTATTTTTAGAAGTTTTGGAATACAACATATTGTGCAATCTTCACCTGAAGAGCAGGAACCTCCTATATGTCTTTATGTATATGGGAATGATTAACATATTATCTGGTTGAATATTTTAATCAATGGGAGTCGTTCTAAGTTCCAGTTCCCTTCCATAGAACTGTACAATATGAAATGTATTGACATTCCAATTATGCCATCATTGCAGAAGAGAAAAAGTGGCAATGTTGATACACTCTTTTAGTTTAAAATCCCGTCTTAAGTAATGTAAGTAAAAAATAAAAATGATTTTTGGAAAATTCGGTTTCTTGCGTCTATCTCCGAAAATACTCGCAATTACGAAAGTTTCTAAGTACCATTTTCTTAAATAACATGATCGACTTCCTGAAGATCAATCACCCCGCTTTAGAGGTAGTTTTTCTCGGTGATTTCATTGCGTAAAATGAGCTCTGGTTGGACTCAAATAAGACCGATGCAGCAGGTCGTGCTGTTGAAGCGTTCGCTATTACCCAAGCCCAAGGACTGACCTGTAGAGATGAGCAAACACTCGCGAACTCCGATTTACTCGCAGCGATTATACAATCGCAATCGCAACCTGCGAGCCCGTTCCGTAGCAAACTGCGAGTTGCGAGCTGGTGGGTTCGCGTGAGCCGGTAGGCATGCAACCAACCCAACCGTACAATCACGGCAATCGCTTTTGGAGTTACACATGCGAGTGGCGATTGGCGGTTAAAAACGAGCGGATGGCGTTGCTTTTATAGGGATGAGAGTCGTGACTGTTGCGAGCTGCGAATGCGAATTGTTAGGATTGGTATTGGTGGTTTCTATTTTCAATCTCTAGGTTGTTTTTTTGTTTGACTAGCCAGTATTATTTTATTCAGTTTCAACAATGTTTAAAAAGAGGAAAATAAGTTATTTGTGGATTTTTTTTTCCGAAATCGACGAAAATTTCGCCAAATATAGTATTTGTGCAGCCAAAATATCATATAAGACTAGTACCACGAATTTGAGAAGACACATGGAGTCAAAACACCCAGCTGTAGCTGCAGCTGCAAATAAACCAACCTTGTTAAGTTCTTGAAAAGAAATGTTTGCAGTTTAGCATATTACCTGTTGGGTTTAGTATTTGCATTCTTCTAATTAAAATTATAATTATAAGAGACATTTGTTTTCATTTTTAATAAAATCTACAGATTTGGAATTATAAGATTTAAAAAAAGGTATTATCATTTCTCCTAACCTTGATAACACAACTACAATGTTATTTCATTTTTTGTGATAACAGTTGTTAACACATAACACATAAATATGACCAATTTAATGTAATTAATTAACCTTTTATAGAAGGGAAATAATGAAATAACACTGTGCCACAATTTCAAATCGCAATCACAGGTTGCACTCGCAGTGAGTGGTAGATCGCAATCGCAGTTTTAACTGCGATCACAAAATCGCAACTTTGATCAACTCTACTGATCTCGTGACGAGCCCTACTTTTCCCCCCGCTTTTCGTCACACGTCAGTAGACAGCTGGATCTCTTTCTGATAACGCATCCTGTCCCCTACAGCACTGTTTTCTCCCCTGGGTAACTCGGACCACGGTATTGTGGAGGTTAGGCTTCGGTCAGAACCCGCTCTGGCAGCAGAAACTCGCCCATGCATTACGGGCATGCCGACTGGGATGGTACCTCAGATACTTTTCCCCACCATTCCTTAGAGAGATGACAGGAATTGAGAGGATTATTAAACCCCCTTCCCCTTGTTAGCAAAACTAAGCAAATCTCTTATCCCCTTCTTACGCTTACATACAGATTTTGACACATTTTATAATTTGTGGCAAGTATTGGCTTTCACGCACATGTTCATTTAATGTCTGGAAAATCAGGAAGATCTGGATCGCCTGACCCAACATACTTTGCAGTAACAAGCAATTTCCATTTAACTATTCATACCTTTATTAATACATATCTGATAAACTCGAAGTTGGGCCTTTCTAAATGTTCATTAATTGTAACGTCACGTTCATCCAAATGAGACCGAAAATGGTACATGTGGCAATATGAAACCAGCCAGTTTCTGACTAAAAGGAGTAATTCTGCGCTCTGCTCGCTTGCTTCGACCAAGAGTATTTATACTAAGGTCGTAAGCGAGTAAACATCCTTATTTGGTAAATCCTGAAGATGCGCTTCCCTTTCGAACATTGACGGGTTGCCATATGTGTTCAAATAAAAATTGACTAAATTTTGTAAAAGATTCAAAAAGTAAGAGAGACCCCTCATCCCCCATGTCATCAAAAATAAGCAATGCGAATTTATTAGGTACTTAGGTAATACTTGAATGATCGAGTAGATTTCTAAACTTATTTTTGTGTTCTGCTGCTGTCTTATAGTTGGCGCTAGTATCTCTTCAGATCCCTCTTTGGACTCGGGAGTACAGACATGCTTGCCTATCGTCAGGTAGAATACGTTAATCAATGCACAGGTGAATGGTGTTTTCTTGAGGGGGCGTCCACCTTAAAACCCTTTTTCGAGAAACTGATTTTAATAGCTGTTCCGAACAAGATTTATTATGAAGGCCTTCACTCTAGCCATAACCAACACTGAGGTGATTTATCATCTTACCAATGGAGGAAAATGTACCATGCTAGAGATGGGCATAAAACAAGTACAGGGCATAAAAGCAAATAATAAATCTGTAATTCATGCTACTTAAAAAACCAACTGTCATGCTGGGTGGTGGAAATCTTTTGTTCATATGATCTTATCCGAGGCTTATTCATTAACTTTGCATACATTTGACGTTCAGATAGAAAAATTCAAATGGAACAACCTATCTATTTTAGATCTGAAGAACGGGGAATCTTGCCATCGTTTATGACCTTGAATTCAATATCATATTTTAATTTTAAAGGTCGCTTTGTCTAATGCTATATCTTGACACTGATTTGAAGGCCAAACAGTTTGTACATTTGTCATTGTAAACTGACTAAGCGAAATTTCGCCATTGGCTATCACAATGACAAGACAAGACTTGATAAATTTCACCTTAATTTTAAATCTAGAGGCAAATTGAAAACGCTATTTCAACTTTCGAAATCTAAAAGAGCAAGTGTATGTTCCATTAAATACTTC